ATGTATTTGTTTTTACCTTTTAACATAAGGACGGCAAAGGAGGCGGGTACCCGGGGGCCGACCGGCTTGTAGGTTGTTGCACGGATTTAACCACAACTTGCACCGTATTAAAAATCCTTAGGGACTAGACCACTCACGGCTGATAGGCCGGGACCAACCGCTTCGAACCTACCGACAACACGAAACCCGGCACCGTCAAAGGCGAAAATTGATGAAATGCCCTCTGTGCGTCCATGAATGACAGTCCAGACTGGAGATCACTCGTGAGGACATGATGTGTGCCTCTTCGTCTTCCCTAACGCCCACGCCCCTCTGCCTAGGCAGAGATTGTCAGAACACACTGCACTGAGCCTATGCAAGCATTCCAAACTCTTCCATCAGGACGGCCTTCGCACTGCGCTCCCCGATGCCGCTGGCGGCCAGCTCGATCTCCTCGGCTGTGGGCTGGTTGATGTGCGGGGTGGCGATGTTTTCGAACTTCTCCAGCAGCAGGAACTGCTTCGAATCATCCGCCGCCATCTTTTCTAGGTGGCGCCTCACGAGCGCCCAGCGGCTGCCAGCCTCCTTGCCGCCCGGGTACCTCTTGCCCGGGTGCGCGAGCCGGTCGCACGTGAGGATCAGCGAGCACAGCCCCGCGGCGAGCGCCGTGGACACGGAGCTGCCGGTTATGACGTCCTCGGATTTGAGAAAGTCGATCACGCCCGCGGCGATGTTCTGGCCGCGTATCATGTAGTCGTACTTGTTCGGGGACAGGTCGCGGAGGAGCTTGCCGTACTCGTCGCAGGCGGCCAGCACGAGGAGCGAGAGCAGATCGCTCCGGAGGTCCGCCGGATACGCCTTGGAGATGCGGGACCCCTCGTCGTGGGCGCTGCACGTCATGACGATGCCCTGCTTGGTCGCCTCGCGCAGCTCGTCCTCGAGGTCGCTGTCGCTATGGCCCATGGCGAAGCTCATCGATATGACGTCGACGTCTAGGCTCCGGGCCCACTTGATGGCCTTTGCGACCCTCTTTGGCGTGATCTTGGACGAGTCCTCGGCGACTCGGGCAACGTAGATCTGGCAGAACGGGTCGATGGCGCAGATGAGGTTCGCCATCTGCGTCCCGTGGGGGTTGGAGGCGAATAGCCAGGGGCTGAACCTGAAGTTCTCATCCACGAAGGAGCAGCCGTCCTGGATGCGTGCCCAGAGGCCGCCATCCTGTTGTGGTGCCGCTTCCTCCGTACCTTGGTGCTGCTCGCCTTGCTCGCTCCCCCCCGGTTCGCCGGGCTTCCCGTCGCCCTTGCCGGCCTCTTTTGAAGATTGCTGCTGCATCTTTCCCCGGCCTCCGGATGACTGAGACGAGATGCTTAGGATGCCGTTGTCGAGGATCGCCATCTTTGTCGGCTTGTACTGGGGCAAGCCTTCCTTTTTATTGACCTCGGTTTCAAGGCTCCGAAGCCAGCGGGCAAGCGTTGGTGCGACTCGATTGGCACTATTCGAAAAATAACAGATGACCATTAGTCAGGTGTTGCTGGATATAAATCGCGAGAGAGCATGAGGGGCGTTACCACCCGGGTGGGAGAAGGAAGGGAGAGGAGTGGGCTCATATTTAGGAGAGAGCGGCATCTTTTGACACTTACATCTCGCCCAAGTTCACCAGCTTGGATGTAGGATACCATGAAACCGTCTCGATCCTGAGCGCTTTGAAGGTTGGTGGCCTGTCATCCCTCAGCTTTTTCACGTGAGAGCGAAGCTTTTTAGTCACGGCGTCGCTGCGGGCCTCCGTACACGTTTCCTATGAACACGTAAGCTGGTGCTTGATTAAGGGTATTTTGTGAAGGACACGACGGAACAGCCTAGGAACAACGTAGGCGAAGATTTTACGGACCTTTATGACGCTGATAACAAGCGTTTCAAAGTGCTGTCAAAGGGGAGGGGTATGCATGGAGTCAGTAGTTGCCGTCAAGTATTCCAAATTCCTCGAGGGCCTAACACGCGCGTGTAGTTGAACTCCTAACAAGGAGCAATTACAATTCGTACCTCGCCAAACTTCTTGACGCCGTCTTCGCCGAACCAATCATTGATGACGACGCGACTGCCGCTCGAGTAAAGGTGCAGCTCCTTGATACGGCCTTTGGTGCCTTTTTCGAGGCCAGAGATGCAGAGGTCAAGCACTTTCCAGTCGAGAACCTCCACCTCGAACTTGTCCACCCACATCGCCATCTCCTCGTCGTCGTGTGGGTTGAGCAATCTGTCTGGTATCTTGAGTTTGATGATCTTCCTCACATTCTTTTCCCACAGCCACTTGAGAATCCTGAAGACCTCACGGTGGCTTTTCGTGAAATGCGAATTCTCGCACAACGCTTCCCTTTCCTTAGCCATCAAGTCCAGTGGTGGGAACTCGACATAGCGTAGCGTCTGCTCGTACTTTAGGAGGTCCCGGTTCTGGCTGTGCAAGATTAGGGAGTCCACAAAGGCTGATACTTCATAGGTCGCCGAATTAAATCGGGAAATGTCAAAGCAGAGATCGCCAACTGGAGGGAAAGGCCAGGGGTTAGCGGTGTCAAGCCAGGCCCGTCTGAGTAGGTACCATTGAAAAGGTTGGGTGCGGGCCATGCTGAAGGGGGGGTGGAAGAGGTATTGCTCACAGGGTTCGTTGGAGTCGTGAAAGATATCCGAGAGCGTCCCCATGTTATCCACAACTTCAATCGTCTTGGCGACAATCAGGTCGCGTATCCTGGCCCGATCCTTTGCCGCCCCAACCAGAGTGGCATCTTTCTGCTGCCTAGGCCACGGCACAAAGCCGTTTCCCTCGTCCCACCTGTTGTTGTTGTACCATAGGGCATACTTCTTTGCCTTTTCGCTCTGAGTGGCAGCCAGCCCTTCGCCAGATAAGGCACACCTCTCGCACAATGAGTCTGGGTGCTCCTTTACGAACTTCTCCACGAAGTCGGGCTTCTGATAGAAGACAGCGAGGTGGATCAGGGACTTTTCGAGGCTCTTGGAGACGCCCGTCTTGGGCCAGATCTCCATCAAGTCGCGCTGGATGATGGACTGAACGACTTTGGCGTTGAAGGTAGCCGTATCTTTAACGGCGCCGACGATGTCTCGAACGATGTTGCGTCTGGTCGTCTCGAGATTTGCGGGCTTGGACTTGCTCCTCTTTTTGACCGGCATCTTCGTCTCTATATGCTCAATGGCCAAAATGATGTTGTCGCTGGTGGCGAAGAGACTAGTAGCGTCGCTACCGCCGTGGCTGGACGTGCCGTTCGCCACCGGCTTCTTTGAGTTGTAGTCGAGGTACTTGCGTATGACCCCATCCAGACCATTCTCCACGGCGTCACGGAAGCAGCTGAGCGCCGTGTTATTGGTCGCTAGGCCTTCCACCTTTAGCAGCGCCTCGACCGTCTCGACAGAGCCTTTTTCTGCCATCGCCGCCTCCCACAAGGCAGTTTTGTTGACGGAGGAATAGGGATTCGCCTCCAAAACGAGATCCAGCAGCGAGCACGGCTTGTCCAAGAAATCTGGTCCGCCGTAGTGCGCTTTGAACTCGTGTGTGGCGGGCTCGTGCAGATCGTAGAGCTTGCGGCCGTGCTCGAGCATGGCGGCGATGACCTCGGCGTTGCCGCATTGCGCCGCGACGTTGAAGATGATTTCCTTCTGCTTGGCGTCTCTGTGGACAGACTTGAGCAAGCATTGGTCCTCGTAGAACTTCTTCGCCTCCTCCGGGTCGTACGGGTTCTCGAAGGCGAGGTACGGCCTCGCCTCGACGATGAGCTTGCCGAGAGCCTTCATGGCAGCGACGACCTGCTGGTTCGGGTTCTGATCGGTCCGCACCGCCCGCAGAAGGAGGTGCCAGCGGACGCAGTCATCTATCTTGTATTCCCGTTTCTCATCATCCAGGAAGAGCTTGATGGCGTCTCGAACGGGCTGTGCGTCTGTCTTCAATGCTTCGATGGCGGCTGACATGACGGCATGCACCAGCGACTCGACCTGCATGCTCTTCACTCCGTCGTTCTGTGTCGCGATGGCTTTCTTCATCCTTTCATGCAGCATCCTCGTCGTTTTCTCTCTAGCAGCCGCAGCCTCGCCCCCAGCCATGGCCGCAGTAGGTGGCCTAGCAGTCTTCGGCTGGATCGAGAAAACCTGCGTCGTTTTACCGAGGTCGTTGGCGGAATGCTGCGCATAATTGGGCGAGTCCATGGCTTGCACAAGATTGCATCTCTATGAGCACTTTGCAAAGTCGGACGCTGTCGGATCGCAGGACTTGAAGCTCACGCTGAGGGTACCTCGCGACCCCAGCGAGAAAAGATCACATTCCCCCGGGTTCCCGTGCGGGGTGGTCGACCTCTGAGAGAGAGAGGGGGGGAGGGAGGACAGGCTGTAAAGGGTTCGAGGGAACGCGCCGTGCCTCGGCCTCATGACCCTATGTACCTCTGTTGTACCTACAATAGTAGAAGCGAGGAGTGCTTTCAGTGCTCTTCCTGCAGCAATCACGCCGTGTTCGTGCACATTGCGGCCCGATTTGCACTATTGTGTCAGCCAATGCTGCAGCCACATTCTGCATGGCTGGGCCATCATTGGCCAGGACCCCGAACGCGATAACAGACTGCGGCTCACCCTTCGTTCCCGGGCCGGGAAGAGCTTCTCGTTCTGTTGGACTTGATTCTTGTTTCTGGGTGTCCCGCCTGTCCACGAGTCGCACGAACCACAGCCGGCCTGGCAAAGCCTCGAGCTCATTGCCGTAGGTAGGTATCCAGTCGCTTGTGCAGCTACAATGCCCTAGAAGCTGACCATGTCGGAAATCTAGAATAGATTCACAGGTCGCCATTGAGAAGCAATTTAAACCAAAATGTAATTGACAAGTTAGAACCGCTCCGAAGCCACGGCTGGCTGCATTCGCGGGAAACCATCACACGAGACTCGACTAGGTACATAGGGTAGCAAAAGCATCAGTCGATGGGCGTGGAAAAAGTCGTCCCCTCTCCTGCCAACGCATCTCGGAGCTTGAGAATCAGCTCGTCCCGGCGAGCAATTCGTTCGTCTTGGCGAGCAATTCGTTCCTCCGCCCGTGCGGCCCGGGCCTCGAGCGACACAAGCCGGCTATAAACATCATAACCTGTGTAGTCTGCGTTGAATTGGCTGCTCGTCCACGGGCCAGGGAGCTGGCCGGCAGGCGCGATGGGCTGCTCTGAGGCGCGGCCCGCGGTCTTTGGGTGAGCGGATTGCGCACCCGCTGCCCCACTTGCTGAGTTGTCAGCTTCGTGAGGATGAGGAGGACCGGCCGTGTATCGCGGAGGCTGAAGAGCGTCAGCAGCGTCTTTATCGGTTGCGGTATTGGCAGCCGTCCCGTGTTTCCGCGCGCTTGGCGATCCCTCGCCAGCTTGCGCGACGCTAGCCCCTGTCAGATTCTCGGCCGTAAACTCTGCCAGACGTGCAGCTTGTTGTTCTTTGACCACGGCCTCGGCTTGCGCCGTCGGCTGCGCTGCGCTCGCAGGCTTCGCTGCCAGCACGAGTGTTGCGGCGGCGGCGGCGGCGGCGGCCGCTGCTGCTGTTGCTACTATCTCGGGCCCAATCGCCGCGGCGTCCTCTTTGTCTTTGTTGTCGGGCGCGGCCTTGGGCTGTGGCACCTCGAATCGCTCCCACGCATTCAGCCACGCTGGATTGAGGTCTGTGCAGTCGGTCTTGGACACCAGCCGGCCCAGATTCTCAATGTCGATCGAATTGATGATGTCGGCACCCTCGTGAAAGTAGTTGGTCTTGTCGCCCGGATTCGGCGTAGCAGTCCAGGGGATGCTGTCACCAGAGACACCAGCGACTCCTCCTTTAATCTTCTCCCACAGCTCTCGAACGGGTCCCGTGATTGCCGTCAGTCGGAAATCGACCAGGTATCGATCTGCATTTGGCCTGGAGAAGAGGACGCCGATGCGTATCTCAGGGGCGACACCCTGGTTGTGGATTTGGTTCTGGGAGACTGTCCACATGACGCCGTTTGCCCCGGAGCCAGTCTTTTTGAGATTGGCAAGGTCTGTCGACTTGCCGCTGTCAAAGTCAATCCGCTCCCAGGATGTCTTGTCTTCCGTGGTCCGCCCGAGTGAGCCCTTCTGGCCAGCGTAGCCCAAGTCAAGCTTCTGCTCATTCTTGGTGTTGATATCGCGCTGGGCTTTCCACGCGTTCCACGTTTGGATGCGGCGGAAGGGTCCCCACGCAACCACCTCTGGATCTTTGCCGTGTTTGTCTTTCGCCCGGAACCTCAGCTCAGCTCTGGCGAAACCCACCTTGCTGTTCTTGGTCTTGGTGTTAAAGCCGAGTTTGAGAACCACAAGCGTCATCTCGCCGCGGCGCTGACGATGGGCGGCGTCCCCCGTAGACTCGCGCCATCCATCCACCCACACCAGTCTCTCCACCTTGAGAGTGTAGTCGCTCGTCTCCTTGCCGAAGATGAGCGGGTCATTTTCGCCACCTTTGCGGCTCTGGGACCTTGTCGCGCTGTCGGAGTCGACAATTATCTGCTTCTTCAAAGCCACATCCGTGACCGGGTCGTCGGCCAGGATTTCCTCCGGTTTGGTGTCGTAGATTGCATTAGGGTCATAAAAGGGGACCTCGTCTAGCCCGGGAATGTTCCAGTCGAGCGTGATATCCTCCGTAGCTGCCGTCGGCTGCCCTGACTCCGATTCATAGCCTCCTGGAGCTGAAGACATTGCTTCTGGCTTGAGCAGGCCGTGTATACTGTTTGGAAAAAAGGCCAGGCTCAGGAGGAGCAGGAGGAGCGAAGTCAAGATTCATAGGTGGCGAGCGCATCCATAGCCCGCGCGATTCACAGATGACGTATAATATATCCTGCGCCTCGGGAAGGAGCTGGCTTTTCTCCAAAGTCCTTCGGCGTGCAGCGGTACACGGAGGGTACTTGAGTACTCGGGGATCCCCTGTGTAGTCTCGGAAGCTCAGCCCAGGTCGGTGCCGAAGGCGGCCCACTGCGGGGTGTGGAGATCGGCAGTGTCTAGCTCCCGGGGGCGCTCATAAAAATGGGGGGCTATTGCACAAGTTGGACCCGCGATTGGAAGACCTCCAACGCGGTGCCAGGCCTCAGCTGTGCCACCAGATGCAGGAAGGGTCACAAAGCCAATGATTTGGGATGGCGAAGCGAAGATACGCTGCACCATACGATTGTGCAAGAAAATTCGCGCACACCAAGAACTCGTCCATTCCCGCAGGATTCTTCGTACCCCCTGCCAGCTTGCGGATGGCCTCTCCTCTATCGAGTACGGGAACAAACCTCAGCTAGACCAGGCAGCCTCACTTTTCCTCAGGCCATGAGCAACCGTAACTAAGATACCTAGCTTCGTTCCTTTGGGTAAACCACCTGCGGTTTGCGTCCCCTGTGAGCCTACCTGTCCCCACTTCAATTGAGTGGTTTTCAGGGTTGGGAAGCACTTTTTTGCCTTGTTTTTGCACTAGCCGCCTGTCCCGTTGTTTTTTTGTGTCCCGCATCCCGGACCCAAACAACACGAGCGGAATCTGCTTGCACCCCAATAACTACCTAGGTTTCCATCTAGGCTTCAGTTCAACGGGAGTCCACAATGGGCGATAAGCCGCGCAATCTCCTCCACAAAATTCCCTGGGCATTCGGCAAGAAGAAAGCGCAGCGCGTCGTCAATGGTGAAGCCAGCCACGCCGCACTTTGCCAAACCGAGCTAGAGGGCAACGATGGTAAAGGTGACGCGCCGGCGAGTTCCGCCGATACAAGACCCGTACCAGGAGCACCCTCAAGACAGACAGCTGCTATGGAAGACGGCGGTTCGGTAGAAGGGCGGAAAGACGAGCCACCACCTCCACAAAATGCCGGGACTACTGGTGCTGAAACCGGGGACAAGCCAGATGCAGCTATTGCGGAATCGAGCGATGCTGCCGCACCATCCAACGCCTCGCCCGCCCCGGCGGACGGAGCTGCACCATGGTATAATCCAGAGGAGCGGGTCGCCGGCTTGTGGGATGACGCGTACGATCAGTTGCGGAAGACAGACTCGGACCTCATGCGTGCGTACGAATCTGTGATGGCGGCCTGGAGTGCGGGCATCATCTCATGGCCCCGGCGGGCATCTACCTGGAATTCTGCTCCGGGCACGCCGGTCGAGGCCCACACCTGGCTTGATCGTGACAAGAGGCGACAGCATATAACATGCATCACCGACGGCTGGCTCGAGGAACGAATTGGGGAGAACGACCGTGTTACGCAGGCCGTTGAGGCTCGCTCCCTGAGAGACATCATGAGAACTGCCGTTCAAGCTTCTCCGCAGGCATCCATGGCCTGGGCTGCTTCATGGCTTGCTCTAGAGGTTTGTGACTCCCGCACTCCGGCTCTCGTGTAGATGGGTCATAAACTCACTAGCCATTGTTCCTGCAACCCGATCTCCAGACCCTCTTGCAAACAGATTCTCTGGACGGCGAGACTCGCTCGCAAACTGTGTCCACGATCTCGCGAATCAAGCGGTACAGCGCGCTGCCTCGGCTCCTCTTCGGGGGGCCCCCGCCCGGTGGAGACCAGCATGCCGATAACTCTCATGTTGAGGCGCTCACGGACCTCTACAGCATTGTCCTTAGACAGCTCATCACCACTGCACTGAAATGGAAGCAGCCAGAGACGGCAGTCGAAACGACCGCTGAGCACATCCGGGGTCTCGAAGAGGCATTCACAAATGGCCTCAGCAAAGAGCAGGACATGGAGTCTGAGCTCTCACAGTTATTCGAGCCGCCCAAGGGTAGCAAGCAAGACGAGGCAGCTTCCGATGCGGAGTCCGAAGCTAGTACCGCCTCAGAAAATACGGAGATAGACGAGGCAGAGCGTCTCAAACAGATCTTGGAGAAGTTGCACGCACCCGAACAGCCGCTTGACGAGACTGACGCTACGAGAAGAGAAGCGGGCCGACTTTTGTATGATTGGGCACGCGACACACCGTATTTTGAGAAGTTCCTCAACTGGACTGACGGAGCGAGCGGGCGTGTTCTCTGGGTCAGCGGTTCGCCCGAGGTCGGGAAATCCATACTTTTGCGCACAGCGGCGCAGAGTCTGGTAACGGAGCAAGGGGCTGTCTCTTCATCAGAAGATGGAAAGAAAGTGGCCTACTTCTTCTGCAATGGCAGCGGCGGATTCCACGAACGGGATGTCCTTTCCGCGCTCAAGGCCCTCATATCCGGCGTCCTCCGCAGCCAACCCCACCTGCGCCTTCACCTGGAAAGAGCCTTCCGCGACACAGACCGGACCGATTTCGAGGGCAAGGGCGACTTCTATGCCCTGTCAACTGTTCTCTACAGCATCATTGAAGACGCCGACTTTGCACCCACGTACTTTGTGGTGGACTCGATCGAGCTGCTTGCCGTCGACGCGGCCGAGGACGCGGATCCAAGCTTAGAGCAGAAGGTTGGCGTGGGTGCGGATCATAGCACCACTGCCCGCCTCCGGGGACTTGTGGATCTACTAAGCTTCATATCTACAACCACGGCACCGCCGTATGGAAACAAGGTCAAGTGGCTGGTTTCTGTTGATGGCAACAAAGTTGACCCGGGGCTGCTGTCGCCACAAGCTGTATCGCAACTGCGCCTCGATCTTGACTCGCACCCGGCAGACCTCCGGAAGATCGTCAGTGATGTCGCAACCTCAAGATTCGCCGCCACTGCAAACCGTGCGCTCTACAAGGGGGGGCTCTACAATGCCGTGCTGAATAAGCTGCGCGAGGTGACGCCTGGCAACTTCATCTGGCTCGATGCGGCGCTTGCCGTCGTCAGGTCAAGCGAGAAGGTCTGGAACCTTCCCGATATCCTGGACCACATGAGCAAGCGAAGTCAAGGCGTTGAATCGCTGTTTTTCTTAGGCCAGTTACATGTTGGAAACCTCACGGCGAAGGATAAGAAATACCGCACAGATATTCATTCTGCGGCGGCCCTCGCATACCGGCCGCTTTTGGTTGCAGAGCTTGTCGATCTAGTTGAGCTGCCAGAAGAGGTCGACGTTTCGGTTGTCGTGAATACGATGCTCCCGTTTATCCTGGAAATACGGGATGGCAGACTGCAGTTTAAGCACCAGTCTGCCACGGAATTCATCCGGCGCAACCTGGCGGAGCTGGAACTCGGGGCCATCGAAAAGCTACACACCATTATGGCGCACCGCTGCTTGGAGATGGTCCTAACGCATCTGCGCTGTACTCGAATGTGCGGACGTGTTGCTACAACCGCGCCGCTCGCAAGGCACGAGTGCACGTATCCCGCCACAGCCTGGATCAGACACTTGACGGAGCCTGGCGTGTTCGACAGGGTAGCCTTGGCACTGGCTGACCACTTGTTGCATGACCATGTGATAGAGTGGCTGGAGATGGTGGACGCGAAAGACGAACTGTCAGACGTCCTCAACCCGATGTCCCGGTTATTGGAGTTAGCCGCGACGCCTGTCCCCACCGCTGACAACGGCCGCAGCGAGGAGTACGGCCCGGTCAATCTTCAGAAGAGCATTCACAACGTCATGAGCTTCATTAGACGTGACCGCTCGCAAACCGGCGCCATGGCTCCTCAGAAGACGGATGATGAGCCCTCCACAGATCAGAACGGCACTCCTGGCGACTTCGCATTTGCTGATTCTTACACTACAAGCCGCCGAGTCCGCAGCAGCCTGCTCTTTGTTCCCGCCACGGATCCGTGGAGGCAGAGATGGCTTCCGAAGTACTATCCGTGGCTCGTCACAGCCCCACTGGTCAGGACCACAGGCCAAGGGGCAGTCGGCAACTGCCTCCACGTTATGCACCATTATGACTGGGTCCGGGGATGCTGCTTCTCTCACGATGGCCGTCTGGTCGCATCTGCGTCTGACGATGGGCGCGTGCGCCTCTGGGATGCTGACACTGGCAAACTACAACGAGTCCTGAATAACGAAAATTCCAGATATGTCTACGGTGTGACAATGTCGAGCAGCAGCCCGGAGAACCACGCCATCCTCGCTGCCTACACGTCCGACATCCTCACAGTCTGGGATATCCCGACGGGGCGGCTACTGAAGAAACTCATTATAGGGTCCAGACCTGATCCTGAGGCCGGGACCGATATGGAAGAAGACGAGAGGCACAGCGAACAAGGTCAGGACGGCGGGAGGAAGACTGAAGACGAGGACCAGGAACCGTCGGCAGCGAGCCCTGACGCCGACAACAATATTTACATTGGGGGCAGTAGCATCGGCGACATCGCGATCGCGTCGGCCGGCGACAAGCTGGCTGCTGTTGTGGACGAGAAGGCCCGAGTTTGGAAGCTGCCTGCTTATGCGGAACTGAGTCTCAGATCAGGAGAGGGTGACAAGTCCGAGGAAGCCCCCGTCTCATGCGTCAGGTTCTCGCCCGACGGTAAATACGTGGCGTACAACCAGGGCGGCGAAATACTCGTCTGTGACTCGACGACAGGCAGCCTTGTTCGCACGCTAGCCGAGCGCTCTCCATCCCGCAATCACGAGGACCTTGACAGCATTAACGAGGACGACGTAGACGGAACAGAATCCGATTCTTCGCACGAGAACCCTGCCGTCGAAAGTGTCGGTGTCTCCATATTCGTCTTTTCGGCCGATTCCAGGCTGCTTCTATCAATCAAAGATGACAGCAAGGCACGTGTGTGGGATATTCAATCGGGCCAAACCTTGGCGGTGACAGAATCCACTTTTGACCGAGACGCGTACTCGCACGAGGCGGTGTTCTCGCGTGACGGCACGCGGTTTGCCACGATCAGCGACTACAAAGTGATTGGTATCTGGTCGCCAAAGTCGTCTGATGGATGGGGCGCCACCGAGAACGAAGAATACACGCGGCCGGCTCGACTTCTCAGCGGGCATGGCGGCCTGGTCTTGGCTTTGCATTTCTCCCCTGTCGGCAACCTTCTGGCATCGTCGTCCTCGGACTTCACCGTCCGGATCTGGGACCTCGAAATGGCCGAGGCGGAGACGGCCGCAGAAGGCGCACTGGTAGCAGAGGAGTCGTCCATGCCCGTCACAGGGAGACGCAGTCTTGGCCACAGGGGGCCCGTCCACTGCGTGTCCATGTCGGCGGACGGCAGCCTGGTCGCGTCCGCATCCACCGACGGAACCATCTGCGTGTGGGATGGCAAGACAGGCGAGAATCTTTCTAGAGGCGAGCATTCCAACATTACGTCCTTGGCATTCTCGCCCAGCTGTAGCCGCCTCGTCTCCGCATCGAAAGACAACACGGCCTTCCTCTGGAACGTCAAACCGACAAGCGCACAACGTGAAGAAGAAGTCGCCTCCATGGCACCTGAGTGCCGGCTCATTGGCCATCAGGACTGGCTTCGCAATGCGGTCTTCTCTCCCGACGGCGACCTCGTGGCGACGGGCTCTGACGATTTCACTGTGCGCCTGTGGGACCTCTCAGCCGCCACAATCACTGAAAGCCAGAGAACTACAGACGATGCTCCGGGTGAGGATGAGACGAAGGCTTCCAGCGTGCCAAACCGCGTCTTCCGCAGTCACGACGACTACGTCTTCGGCCTAGCTTTCTCGGCGGACGGCAAGCGCCTGGCCTCAGCTGGCGACGATCGCCACGTCATGGTCTGGAATCTGGTCTCCGGGGACAAGGCGGACAGGACTAAGCCGGACAAGGACATGTCGGACCGGCGCGTCAAGAGCCACATTCGAGAGGTCATCTTCTCGCACGACGGGTCCCGGCTCTTCACCGTCTCCACCGATTGCACCGTCGCAATCTGGAGTCCGGACCAACCCGAGGACCAGCAGTGTGTTGCTGTCGTTTCTCAGGCCGAGAACTATCGGCTAGAGCATCTGCGCATTGACAAGGACTACCCAGACGTGCTGCTGTTCTCGACGGGCGCCTGGCCGTTCGATGTCAGCCCAGCGGCGCTGGAGGAGGCGGCGGCGGCGGCGGCGGCGGCTCAAGACCCCGACAACGCAAGGCCCGTATCGGAGGTGCTGCCCGCGCGCCCGCTGCCGCCCACGCGGGAGGCCTTCACTATCAGCGGCCGCAGCTACGAGTGGATCAACTGGAGGGGGCGCAAGCTCATCTACCTGCCGGAGGCGTTCCGCCCCAACATCGGCGCGTCGCTGTGCTGCTGGGTCCAGGGGCAGAGCGTCGTCGTGGGCTGCGAGTCAGGCGAGGTCCTGCTGTTCAGGTTCTCGGAGGATATGCGCCCGGCTGGCCCCGCGGAGACATGTGCTTGATTTCTCTTTCGGGCCGGGGTGTTAGACGTTTTCAGCACCAAGATTTTTCTTTCTGTTCTCTCCTCTGTCTTCACTAGGAATTCTATCCCCCAGGTTGCCCTTTTATCGTTCAACCCGACAGCCTGGAGAGCATTGCCACAAAGGAGGAAGGTATGCAGGCGCACTTCGGAGGCCGGCTCGGTGCTAGGCCCGATTCGGGCACATCGAATGGGTACCTCGTGGTCCGATATCAAGCATGAGGGATAGGGGTCAAAAGTGTATATAATGGCAAGGAGCCGGTGGCTCCCTGTACCGGATTCCTTTCCTCCTCAGAGAGATAGATCATCCTTCAATAGAGCCTACCTTGCCTCCCTTCTCCTTGCAACAAGCATCTCTCCACGGCTGTTGACCTTAGCGCTAAATTCCTGAATCCTTGCGCTAAATCCTAGCGCATGGGCCCTGTAGATGCCTACAAAGAATACCTTGCGGCTGACACACCCCCTCAGGAAAGCCATCAACGGTGACTTTCCTCGCCTGTTTTTTTTTAGTTGATTTCAGGCTGAAGCGGAAGGGCGCAGTGATGGCCCCCTCGCTCATCTGGAATTTATTCAACCAGTACCTCAGATCCAGGAAGAGTCTCCTCGATCTTATCCAATTCTTCGTCTGTCTCATTTCAGGTAGTTTCAAAGATCCATCCTCGGAGCAAAAATATCAAAACATACAACACCGGGGATTCCCCAGTGGTCACCCACCTAAGTACTAGTTCGGCCCTCATATGTTTTGGTACTTGGAAATTTTAAGAGCAGCCGTCCAAGGTTTTTACATTAATCCACCGCATCCTACCCCGTTTTGCTAGAATCAGCCCACCACCCAGCGAGGGTCTTGTATTGGCCCGTCGCGACCCAATCTTGTCCTGACAGCTTATCTTGTCTTCGTGACAGGTTGTCTGTTGGCCAATCGGCCTTCCTGGGTCCCGAGGGTCATTCCCGTGTGACAGCATGGTACACGGTGGTTATTGATCCTTAGCAGCAGGCCTGCCAGAATGACCACCATACTGGCTCAGGGGCGCCTCACCAGGCCGGTCCTCGCCGGGGAGCATGATGGCGCGGTCGATACTGTTGGGCAGCCCGCGGTGGCGGCCGCGGATCATCATGGCGCAGATAACCACCTTGCTAAACGGCGTGAACTGGCCGCACAGCGAGGTGTTTACCGTTGGATGTCCTAGGGACAGGCCGACGTTGCCGCTGTTTGTTAGGGTGCGTAATCAGCAATAATCCTTCTGTCACGACGAGGTAACTGGGGTTACTTGCTATGCCGAAACTACTTCGAAGAAAACAGGAAACACGGAAAATGCCTGTCACGCGCCATGGGAACCGGTCAGCTATGGGTCCCCAGTGTGCAAAAACGCCAGGGGACGCGGGGACGGGATTTTATTTGACTTGAGGACTCACCGGATCCTTTGGATCCATGATCCTCTCAGACTCTGCAATGCAGATGCAGAAAGTGCCGAGAAATATATACCACAGGTCGAAGCTCAGCTGGTTTCGGATGTGGGCCGTGACGTAATCGACGCCGCTTAGCTCGTTGAGGTTGCTTTCGCCAGAGTATATGCCGAGGGCGTGGTTTTCGTCAGTGTTGGACGCGCGGATGCTGATCGCGATGGGGAAGACGGCGATGTACATCATGCAGATTAGGCTGAACTGCACGGCCGGGTTAACTAGGGAAAGGTTGAAAGTGGCGGTCCCTGTGTGGCGGGCCGAGGCCGCCTGGAAAAGTGCCGACAGGATGCGCGGACCAATGGGCAGGTCCGTAACGGCAGGGTTTTTGAGGTCCAGGACGATCATCAGTAGTACGTCAACGAAGTTGAGGGCAACGAGGATGCCAAAAAGGACCCATGTCGGCTTGCTGGGGAAAAGCAGCGTGTAGCACCGACGAGGGTGGTCTAGGAGGAACTGGAGGTGGCCCTTGGTCGCAGACTTTTTGGGCACTAGTTTCGACATCGTAAAAATGATCAGGCGGAGGAAGATGGGGTAGCAAGTGTTTCCGGCAAAGGCCAGGAAAGTCATAACGAGTATCGGCCACGTCGCGTCTTTGAAGGACACCATCGAGTCCGGAGTGAGCGTGAAGCCCAGGTTGTCGGTCATGGTTTGTGCCGAGTATATGGCCCACCAGGACCAATCCAGACCATTCTGGTCGAGCCAGTCGGTATACTTGGACCCTGCGTTCGCGTGAATCCAGGGGAGCAGGCAGATAATGCCGAAAAGATGGAGCCCGATAAAATAACCTGTGCCAGCGAATCAGACGAAGCCACACCCCAGCCAGACATGGATGCTCGTACTAGAAACGATCTTGAGCAGGAGCTTCAAGCTCCTGTATTCGATGCCGCCGAGGACCTCGCGGTCGCGTTCGGTCAGGTTGTAGAAGTTCGAATTGCGCCCGACCGTAACCTGGCGGGATAGCTGCGGCAGGTCTGCCACGCGGGGACGGGTCGACAAGCTGGACGGCCTCGGCCTGTCTATGGTCGGCGTAGGGCCTAGGACGAGCAGCGAAGAGGCAGTTTTCTCGATGGAATGGGTCAAGGACAGGCGTCTAGCGGTGTGGAAGGTCCTGCGTCGGGACGGGCCGGCCGACGATGCATGGCTGGTGGGCTTGATGGACTCCTGGTCTGGTACAACGTATGAATGACGGCCGGTCTGACTCCCATCCTCAGATTCCCGATTATGCGGCAGCGTACCTTCATCCAACTGACTCGCGCTGCTTCTTCCATCCGTAGCAACTTTGACGATAGGGTGGCCTGTGCAAGAGGTTAGGCGTGCGCCCTTAACAGCGTAACTAGTTAATTATGCTGATAAAGCCAAAAGCGCGCGCTCACCACTGTCCCGCTCCCGCGGCCCAGGGATGCGAAGAGCAACAGCATCTTCGGTAGATATGCGTCGAGGGAGGGCGGTGTCGGCGTCGAACTTGATGGAGGTCACTCTTTGCGAGGGGACGGGCTCTGGCTCTGGCTCTGGCTCTGGCTCTAGCTTTATGCCTTCCCCGCCAACAGCCGCGTCCTTGTTCGCGATGGGCTGCACGAAATGATTCGACCGAACCAGAGGTAAAGCGTCAGAATCCGGTGAGGTGACCATGGCTTTCGTTTCTCCAGCTTGCGCCTCGGTGTCGTCGACAGAGGCGCTTGGCGGGACAGGCTCTAAAGCGCAGAATTAGCAACGCAAACGCGACGAAGAGGTGGCCAGCAAAAATAGAATGAGTGAGTGATTACTGAGAGTTTTCATGCGCTTCTGGAACCAGTACAGACGGATGACCACGACCATAACGTTGACGAAACACAGGTTGGTGATAATGGGAATAACATAGATGAAGAGCTGCTGGTACGTCTTGAGCTCCTTGACATCGATACTGAATTCAAGGCCAGTCGGAGGGTGGCAGTTAGACGGCCGGCCGGTCAAAAGTGAGCGCTGGCCGGGCGAGGCTTACGTATTGAGTCCAGACTCGGTTGAACTGCTGCAGCCGAAGAAGAAGACATCAACGGCCGCAAGGTTGCCATATGGTGACAAAATCGGGAAGGCGAGAAAGGAGCAGAAAAGAATCCACAGGTCTGCAGAGTTCGTTGGCTTAGTTCCGAAACCCGCGCAGCGGTTTGCGAAACTGCAATCCTGTCCGGGAATACTGACAGTGCAGAGAGATGAAGTTTACGCTTGGCCTCCACATGATGGTCAGCGGCCGGGCGCAACCGCGGCCGGGCCAACAAGTGCCTGGGAAGGTCGATTGACGGTCAATTCTGCGATGGAAAATTGCTTAAAGAAGGGGGGGGGGGGGGGGGGGGGGGCGCGGCGCAGGAGGGTTGGATGACGACTCGAGCGGCGCGCTTGGCAAATCGTCGCTGCTGCCCGGCCTTTTATACGGCTGGTGGCGACGCGGTTGTTTGGCTCTCTATGTGCTATGAGGTATTTTCGTTTGCTAGTAATGTAGAAAGCCAAGCTAAACTGATGTACCACCAGGATCCACCGTACTAAGGTTTGTGATCCCTGGGACCTGTACGCGCACTCGTGGGGGTCAGCCGTAGGACTACCTGGACGTTTGGAAGCGAGCGCCACCTTGACCCGGGTCAGCGAAAGCGTAACCACTACAGTCTTTCGTTCCCATTGTTTATCTTTCCGGTGAGCCCCGTCGGTGTTATCGACTACCTCCTGTGACGGCCAAGGGCAGTTCACCGCACAGCGCAGGGATCCACGTGAGCACGCGCCGCAGAACAGCCCGTGCGACAAGACGTGTTCGGCGCTTGGCGCCTCTGTCCCTTCTGATCGTGACACCTCCGTCTCTTCCTCCCGACGGCGGCGACTCGCGGCACCAAAAGCAGCAAAGTAAGTAATCGGTTTTTTTTTTTAGTAGCGGCCTGGATCCTGGAAATAAAATTCCGTTTTTTATCGTTTTTAAAATAAAAGGACAAACGTTGGAAAAATGGTTGCAAAGCGGTAATCCAGCCCTTACTGGTTTAACTAGGGGAAAGCGGACGGGATCCCGTATATTCCAGTGGGTATGGTCGTATGTGCCTATAGATGGAATCTGCTTGCCTCATCTGACAGCCCCATAGCTAAAGATGCTCTCCCCCGCCGTACACGGAGCAGCCGGTCGCCGGCGCCGTCGGCGTATAGCATCGGCGGGCACTCGTTTAGTAGGCCCGAGGACCCGTTCGCCTTCCTGTCGAGGTTCGACACGGTGGTGCTAATCGATGACTCGGGCTCCATGACGGACTCGCGGTGGCGCGAAGTGGAGGTGCTGTGTAGCATCGCGCCCATCTGCACGGCGCCCGACACGGGACGGCATCGACCTGTACTTCCTTAACCACCGCAGCGGCAGCGGCGGCGACCCGTCGGGCGCCGGCCGCGCCGGCACGGGCTACAACGTACGCGACGCCGAGCAGGTCGGGAGTCTCTTTAAGCGCCGCGTCCGCGCTGCCGGCGGCGACGCCTGGACCACCGATGTCAAGCCCGTCAACCTCATCGTCATCACCGACGGTCAGCCCTCAGACGACCCCGAAGTCGGCCCTGCTCGCCGCCACCCGCAAGCTCGACGCCATCGACGCCCCACCCTACCAGGTCGGCGGGCAGTTCTTTCAGGTTCGTCGACACCGTTACGTGGAACGCTGCCGCGCGACCGCCAGGACATCCGCCGACGAGTCTTCCAGCAGCCGCTTCCTCTCCGCAAGACGCCGCCGCTGGGCCAACAGGCGGGACGACATTCATTCGGTCGCATTCAGGCCTGGAGTTAAGGTTTCAGTTAGTCAGGACGCCGTCACCGTGATAGAGCCGGTCCGGTGCTGGGCAGTCCGGGCGCCGCTGTGTCCGGCGTACGGACGGCGGTGCGCAGCGTGGTCGGGCGGCAGGTGCGAGCCTAAGTGTCCTAGCGTGGTCGCGCTCTATCTCGGCCGGCTCTCACGACGAGACGGCCCGCCCCCGTGCCAGAGGGTAGTCCCGAAGACTAGCCGCACCGTCTACATCACTTTCGGGAAGAGGTCGTCGTTCAACCTCGCCTGGAACCCCAACGCAACCGAGGACGACGTCCCCCTAGCCCAGCAAAACTTGATCCGGCACGCCCGTCTCCTGGCCGTCACTGGCGTCGCGTTTCCCGATCCCGACGAGGCAAGCACCACGCCCCAGAGCCCTGCCCTCGCGTCTCGGAGCGTGCTGGAATACGCGGACGGAGGCGGTGCTACCAAGACTTTATTCAAGGCTAGAAAACGATCTTCTCATAGACCTAAAGGACTAGGGGGAAACAAGCAATTTACTCTAGCAACCATCGCCCCTCTCGTCTCCTCCCAGCATCTGAAGGTGCTGTTCTGCTTCCGGGCCTGTGAGCCCGTAGCCTAGCCGGACCAACTCGTATGTGAGCTCTTCTTCCATGCCGTGAAAGACGCCGATCTTTTCAACTAAGCCGTAGATCCTAGATGCCTTTCCGTCAAGAACTTCAGCGATTGAGTAGTGCAGTGGCTTGCCTCTCTTTTCAAGCGCTCGTTCCGCCTCCTCAAACTTCTGTCGGTACAGTAATCTCGCCCCAGCCTGCCGTGACACATTGCGATGGGCCATGTGTCTGGGGTCGTAGAGAATCTCTGCAATTCCCCGGTCGGAGGAGATCAGCGGGATCGGCATGGGATAGTGATTCACTTCCCAAGGCGCCGAATGGGCAAGTTCCCAGTCAATCACGGCGACGAAATTGAAGCCATCATCGATGAGAATGTTCTGCATGCCCATGTCCATGTGATTGAGGTGAAACGGTCCTTTACTCTTGAAAATATGCGTGTCGCGCACGATGTTTCGAAAAACGAGAGGGCCGAGAGTAGCAAACTGGCTACTCTCCGTGCCCGAACGCTTCCTTTGGAGTGCATCGGCGACAAGACCTTCCGCCACGGCAACGAAGTAGTCCCATCCGGAGCGGAATGGGCCGGCAGCCGGAAGACCGTCAATCGAAGCTGTAGCGATTGCGCCAATGGTAGGGCCAGTGTCTGTGGAAAATTGCGAGATGGAGCCAATCTGTGGAAAGGTAAAAGCGGCAAGCTCCGCCTGAACTGACGTCCACTGCGCAAAAACGTGCTCTTGGGTCGAGACCTGCAAGGGGTTAGGGCTATGTCTATAGAGGTGAAGGATAGTTAAAACCTACAGGAAGGTCGTAAATGCTTTGGTCGATGTCTTGGAGAGAATTGCCGTAGAATCCTTGGATGAGCATGTACGTGGCGCCTGCGTTGATGGCCCTCGTGGATCCTGGCGCCTCGTACGCGTAGAGTTCAGGCAATGGGACGGTCCTGACATTCGCCCGCAGGAAGCTCATCGTTGCAACTTCGCACTGGATCAAGTACTCCTCGTCCGTGTCTGTGGCGTTACTCTCGGGATGTTTCGGCAGCCGAACTCGTGCGACGAGGAAGCGGTCGTCTGGTGCAACAAGCTCGAAGCAGCACCAGTGCTGGCCAGCAGAGAAGGGTTCGCTCATGGACGCGGGTGAGCCGAGCACGACTGAGGCATGCTCCGTCAGCGCCGCCTTGCTGATGGACGCCATGAATCCCTCAAGGCGCTGCCTCATTCCGCCGTAGTTCCAGTCGTCAAATGATGTCCAGCGTTCGCTAGGCCGCCTTTTCTTAGGTGCTGCCATGTCGCCGGACATGCTTCTACTCAATCGGGTGGCTGTTCGAGTGACCGGGGAGTAGTATGAAGGTCAGAGCAGAACAGAGAAGGGAAGGACGGCGGGCGAAGACCTTAGACAAGGTGGCAGCTTAAAAATTTCCCAATTTGGCATTTTGGGTTCACTTTTTCCCACCTTGGCTGAGCTATCCCCTCTACGTGAATGGGGCTAGCACACTTCATCAACCGTCGTTAGTGAGTCATCCTGGCTATTATTTTCCCCCTTACTGGTTTAACTAGGACGGGATCCTGTATATTCCAGTGGGTATGGTTGTATGTGCTTGTACATGGAATCTGCTTACCTTGTATGGAGTAGTCCTATCTGACAAAGGCAAACGTTTGCAGCAGCATAGAGTTCCATCTCGTCGTCGACAGTCCCCCCTGGGACGCGACGTGGCCTGGCATCCAGAGTACTGCGTCTTCTCCGTCCGGGAGCGCTCTATAGAGTGCCCTGCTCTTCCAAGGGCATGCGAAGAGGAGCTTGAACGCGCAGCGACCCAGCTCAGAGAAGTGCTTGACCCGAACCAGGCCCTCGACCATGGCCCTTGCGTCCCGCTGTATTTCTTCACGCTGCTCCTCAAACACATTCACCGCGTCAATAACACATATCACGACTGTGTCAGCGGGCAGTTGGAACAGTAGACGCTCAAACAGGCTATTCAGCACCTCGACAGTCATGCCCGACGTTGCCGGGTTTCGGCCATCCATCTCCAGGAGGCGCCGCGGCACCTCGAGCTGGGGAACCCGTGCGAGCAGCTGGCCAATGAGGCTCCTCAGCACGCCCAGCGGGCCGAACGATCTTGCAGAACCTGTTTGATCCACGTGTTCGCGGCAGAAGTGGTGAAGGGAGATGGCGTCATCGCCGTTGTGACGGGGCGATGATGCCGACTCGGCGAGCCTGGCGCACAGAAAGGCCGACGGGCTGGAGAACAGCGGCGTCGAGTGGCTGTCGTTGATGAAGAGCACCTCGGAGAGCGGCGACGCGAGCCACGCCTGGAACTGCCGCGACTGGACCATGGCGGCCGTTCGGTCCTGTGCCACACGCGGCAGCGACTCGATGGATCTGGCGACCTTGGCCATGTCCTTTTCGCACTCGGTTGCTGCCTCGCGGAACGGCGCGAGACCGTCTGTGAGTGTTTGCAGCCGTTCTTGCGTTACCACTGCGGCAATGTTAATGCCAAGCCGAAACTCGCGCCAGAATAGAGCCGTACTTCAAAAGGACACTCACATCTGCCTGCACCAACATACGCCTGGCCAGGCCGCGCAAGCCGGCGTCGGAGCCGGTCAGCCTCGATCGGCTCCGGCGCACAAAACGGAGACCCGACAAACTGCGCATGTTTCTTCTCCAATGAAAGAACGCGCAAGGCCAGGGCCGTCAGGAGGTCATCCCTGTTCCGGAGGCCGTCTTCGGCCTGCCGTATGATGCCCAGGAGCTCGTCGTGCTGTGTTCTCGAAAGCTTCTCGTGCGCCCGGATGTCGTGCCGCGCCGATGCCAGGCTTTGGTACGAGCATAGCCGGGCGGTCTTGTCGAATCTCTCGGAACACTTGCGGATGTTGTCAATCTTGTTGCTCAGCGCTTGCTGGTATGCATCCTGCTTGAGAAGGCTCGAGAATGCTTTTTCTGCGCCAATGTCAGAAGAGGCACACATGACGTTCCGCGTCAGGGGTGCCAAGGTTTTACCTACTGGCAGCTTTTTGTGTAAACCACCCGACAATGTGCTCCAGTGCCTCAAGGGTGGTGACATAGAGGTCTACGGCACACCGCTCGAGTTCTTTGGGTGAATCGAATATCGCAATGGCCTGGCTCGTTACGGAGAACAGATTCGGCAGCTCTTCCAATGCGTCAGCGATTTCCCCTCGTAGCTCCCGGAGACGGGCAGCAGCCTAGATAGGTCTTCACTTTCAGCATCAAGGTCTGTTCATATGGCATTCAGCACAAGGCTGTCGACGCCCGCACTTACACCACAGATGAGCTTCAGTCCTCCGCAAATGATGGAAAAGTACTCGGATTGCGATGGTAGAACAGACGACCACGCTGGTAGCACAGACGACCACGCATCGAAGACACTGTTTGTACCCCCGAAGCGCCGGAGTGCCTTGCGAATCTTGCCCCAGTGACCCGGGCTGCCGTTGTACTCGGATGAGGCCTTTTCGACAGCCTCCAGGACCTCGCTCCAGGTGTGCACGCTGTCGAGATCCAAGGCGGATGGGTTTTTAGTGCCCGCGGTAGCATTTTGGTACTTGACGAGAGCATTCTTGAATGCAGCCTGTTGAGCTTCTGCTACAGATGCCAGGGAAGGGAATCTGCGGATAGATAATCAATGCTCGTTCGTGGTCAGATCCCCTCCCCGTTCTATGCGTTCTTCAACTTACTCTGCGTCGTCGATAACCTCTCCGACTAGAGTATCGGGCCCTGCCAGTGCGTCGCTCTCGCTTGTTGCCATGATACTGAACACTGCTTGGTTTTGCAGTCCGCGCCAGGCCTGCACCCACATCAAAAATTTGGAGAGGCTCGCGCAGGCAGTAAAGCCTTTGCAAATGCCAAAATGCGGGGGCCACCGCACAGCCGTGCTGCACAAGCCGTAACTGGCCTCGTGCCTCTATATCTCCACCAGCCACCACTCGTCATGCATGTCAGCACGCTTCGGAATTTGAAGACCTATCGAGGGCCTTCCTTTTTGTTCCTTTTTTTTTCTTCTTTTTTAGTAAATTGACCGGACGACCACGTCCTGGTCCTGTTCCTAAAATCATCACAGCGTAGACGCGACAGATGCTGCACCACTGCACATAATTACCAGACCATAGCGCCGTCGTTCAACAGTTCTCCTGGCAACAAGGTCACGCGTCAACGAACCCCGCAGATATGGACAGCGACAAGAACAGGCTGGTCGGAGGAGGGGCGGCGGACGCCGTCAAAGCCGCTCGGCCAATTATTTACGAGCATAACGGCGTCACGGTGGACAGGGACGCCTACATTCACATCCTCGAGGAGCAGGTAAAGAGTCTGAGGGCCGACGTGAAATACCTCGAGTCCAAAACGACGTAAGCGTTCAATCAAGCTTTCCTTGTCGCACAAGGGCTCGTTCGGCTGACGCCTTGTCAGCATGTCCGAGGATGGGGTTACCGGCGCACCAACCCCAAAGATCATGTACGTGCCGCCGGGCCAGTGGCGGCGCGTCAAGAAGGATTTCGGCCTGGTCGCGAACGCAGGCACGCTGCTCGTTTCGGGCATGAACAGCGCCGACGAGAACGACATGAGGCACTCGGGCCGTCACGATCGACTTGCCATCAACTCAAGCCTACTACTGGGGCTCATTTCGGACATTGTTGGCGAGCCGCTGAGTGATCACCGTAACGTGTGGGTGTGGCCCTACAAGTATCTCGTCGTGTGCGAGCCCCAGATCAGGAAGAAATTAGGCGAGCTTGAGCAAGAGTGCACGGCAGACCAAGCCGCCGCTGGTGAGACCCGCGTTGGCGAGAATGGAGAGGATAAACAGGTGCAAGAGCGGCAGCAGCAGCAGCAGGACTCGGAGAGCGCCAGAAAGTCGGGACCGTCCGAGGCCATGGTGCGGCGCCGACTTTGCGAAGAGCTCCGGCTCGTCGTTGAGTTCATGGATTCGCAAATGTCGGGCATATTCTCCTTGCGACGACAGATTGAGGACTTGTCCCTGAAAAGGATCTCTTTTGGGTTTCTGTGGCACCTATACAAGCCTGGAGATGTGCTCATAAACAAAGCCGGCAAGGAGAACCAGGATAAACTCCAGGCCTTTGTGGTACTTCACGTCACCGGCGGCCGCGCCGCGCGCGACCGATCGCAGCGGCTCCGCCCCGATGTTGACTGGGACTCCAACTCGGAAACGGAACACAAGAATCTCGCGCTGGCCAAGTCGATAAGCCGCATGACACCGCTCATTCTCGACTGTGCGTACATCGACTCGGACGGAGACCTCGTGGGGCCGCGGCCGAGGAGGTTCGTATTCCCAGAGTATCCCGGGGAGGTCGATATCGTGTCGCTCGACGCCTACCCCCTGGCTTTCGACAGCGAGAAGGACAGGCTCCTCGGCCATTTGGTCCGGAGGGGCAGGCGCTTCCTGTCCGTCCTCGACGGCGCGCACCTCCACTATCGAGGCACCAGCCTGCGCGAGTTCCAGGGCCAGAAAGGAAACAGGTTTCGCGATTACTTTGAGAGCAACCCTGAAGATGTCGACAGCGAGGTCATGGTGGACCAAGCAGCCGGCATAGACCATTACAAGCAGACCGAGGCATTCAAATTCTCCCTGGGTGGAGGTGTCGTGGCGAGGCCAACGCCCGCCAACGAGAGCGAGGTTGCCGATTATGTTCCCCAGAAAGGGTACGGAATCTACTTCGAGAGCGACGTTTTCGACGACTCGGCCATCGATGTAGACCGCAGAGCCCAGTTTGTCGCCGAGACGGACTTGTTGAGGACCGTGTCCGTCAAGCATTTGGGGCAGCTCGAGCTGCGCGATGACTACTACGCCCTCATGCCCCCCCGCGTCTACGGTTACGCGATGCTCAACCGCAAGTGGCTTCCGCTCAAGATAGACAGCCTACGTAACCTCGACGAGGTCAACGGGGAGCCTGGGTTCCGCAAGACGCGCTTCGAGGACCTCGTACTTCCCCGGGGTCACAAGAAGCTCCTCCAGGCGCTGGTCAAGCAGCACACGAGCGCCGGCGACGAGACGGTGCCCCCCGGCAAGGAATTCTCAATGGACATTGTCTACAGAAAAGGCAAGGGCCTGGTGATCCTCCTGCACGGCCCGCCGGGGGTGGGCAAGACGTCCACGGCCGAGTGCGTGGCCGCCGAGCTGGGGAGGCCTCTGCTGCCCATCACGTGTGGCGACTTGGGCGGAGACTCGAGGAACATGGAGAAGAGCCTCGAGAAGTTCTGCCGTCTGGCGGAGAAGTGGCGGTGCGTGATGCTGCTCGACGAGGCGGACGTGTTCCTGGGCAAGCGGGAGCGGGGCGACGTCGTGCGCAACAGCCACGTGGCCGTCTTCCTGCGCGTCCTCGAGTACTACCCGGGCGTGCTCGTGCTGACGTCGAACCGCGTGGGCGAGCTGGACGAGGCGTTCCGGTCGCGCATCCACGTGTGCCTCTTCTACCCCAAGCTCGACATCGACTCGTCCCGCCGCATCTGGCACAAGAACCTGGCGCGCATCCGCTCGTCGGCCGGCGACCTGGAGATGGACGAGGACGAGATCACGCGCTTCTACGAGCGGCAGTGGAAGGAGAACCAGAGCTCGCAGCGGCTGCGCATCTGGAACGGCCGCGACATCCGCAACGCCTTCCAGACGGCGCTCGCGCTCGCGCAGTACGAGTTCTTCGAGGCCCGCAGGGACCCGGATATCGACATGCCCCGGCCCGTCCTGCGCGCCGACCACTTTGAGCGCGTCGGCAGCACGAGCGCCTTCTTCGACCAGTACATCGGCAACATGCACGGCATCGACGGCGACGACCCCTACAGCGTCATGGCCGAGCGCGAGTCCGTCCGCAAGGACACGATGCCCAACTTTGCCTTTTCCCGCCAGCCCAGCTGGAAGCTCAAGGCGGACGCCAGGGCAAAACGGTCAGCGAACCAGAGGAGGATCGATGCGCTGCTGGAAAGCTCCCAGTCTGAGGACGAGGACAGCGATGCCGACTCGAACCTGGAAGAGCAGATGGAGAGGCTGAAACTGGAGATCAAGATGAACAAGCTCAAGAAGAAGGCCAAGGACTGGAAAGCCACGGGCTCATGAGCGATATATACACATAAAAACATTCGAAGCATTTCTGCGGGCGATATATCATTCATTCAAGCTAGTTCGGCAACAGTAGCCGTCAGTCTGGGCTCCAATGTCTGCATGGACATCGACGTCAATTCTTGGACTGTTGACAAAATCTTCGACATGTCAACTGGCCTCGCCCCGCTCGACTGGAGCCGTGACGCCGGCTACAACGCCTGCGGAATCCGGCTACGTCTTGGACCACGCCTCCTAGACTCTGATCTTGTCCACCATGGTCTTGACACGGTAGACTCCATCGTGGCCCCAGATGGAAAATGTGTCAAAACACTGTTCCCGAAAGTCCCGGCTTTTGGCATCATGACGTACAGTTATCAAATAACATTTAGGCCAGTACTTTCCCGATGGCGAGTCTTCGTCCTGTCATACAATACGTGCTTCTGCATAAGGGAACTTCTTGCTTATTTCCCAGAGCAGCTTCCCTGCCTTACATCCGTCTCGCCCTCCAGCTCGTCCAGCTTCATTTCCATCGTAGCCAATCTGTGGCGGCATGTTCTGGTTCGGCTGGGCGTAGTACTGCTGCTGAGGCTGTGGCTGCAGGTAGGTCTGACCTCCGACTCCAGGTGCCTGCGCCTGTCCCATCGCGTCGTTGTACGTGGTCGTGGACCCCTGCATAGGAGCGGCAGATCCAGCAGCACTCGTGCCGGACACGCTCCTGGCAGCGTTGTTCTTCAGATTGGCGAGTCTCATCCTCCCCGCGAGGTCCTTGTCCTGCTGAGCGGCGGTCTGACCACCCACGGGACTCTCGTCGGCGTCGCGGACACCTGAAGCCACCCGTACCTGCGTGGGCTTGACCTGCGGAGTCGACGGGGCAGTCGCATTGTCGGGGCGCTCGCTCATGTTCGAGTTCATGGTCAAGCTCCGAAGTCCATCGGCGACGTCGAAAAGGGTGAAGACTCTGCCGTCATCCTGGTCGCGCGGTTTAAACCGACGCGCCCGTCCGGCACCAAAACAAAACGCCGTGTGCTTGCGGACTCCTGATGTCCCCATGACAGCCGAAGCTGTCCCGAATCTGAGTGATCACGGCCTAGGCCGCGACCACCACGGAGTGGGGTTGAAGTGCTGAGTTCCGGAAAGTGCAGAATAGGCTGCTGGGCTTACCTTGGTCCGTGGCGTAAGTGTAACTGTTTTCCTGGGCGAGGCTGAAGATGGCTTCTCAAAGGATTGGGGGTAAATGAGCAGTAGTTACGGTGTCAAACAGTGGCACAGTCACGGATGGCCCAAAAAAGGTACTACCAAAAGAAAAGCAAACCGATTCCTAACTAAAGGTTTTTTTTTTAAAAAAAAAACAATCCCTAACCAACAAAATTTTATCACACATAGGGAGGTTCCGCCGCTGGAAACACACAAGGAAGGCTCACCAGGCCTGGCCAGGAGGGGACGTGGCCGCCCCAAAGTCCTCCTGCGAGAGCGCGACGCCGTCCAGCATCCTGCCGACGTGCGTCTTGCCGACGCTCTCGCAGTCCCGTCGAACCTTGGTCATCAGGGCTTTGAGCTGCGGTGGTGGTTGTTTCGTCAGGTGTTAGCCACTATGTATCGACACCAGGATGGAGATGGAAATCTGGGAAAGCCGGAACCAACAAACTTACGAACGAGACGACACCCTCCTCCTCCTCCTCCTCCCCGGCGCCCCGACGGCCGCCGAGCCCGAACAGCGCGCAGATGGTCTTGTACTCGTCGTACGACGAGATGGCCAGCAGGCCGGCGAACACGTCGAGCTGCGCCTCCAGCTCGAGCGGGCACGACCAGCCCGGCGGCGGCGGCGGTCGCGCGTGCAGCAGCAACCGGCCGGACGCTGCGCCGCCGCCGCCGGCCCAGGCGTGCAGCACCACCGCGCCACCCGGACGCAGCAGCGGCAGCAGTGCCTGGGCCTCGAACGGGCTGACGAGCACCACCCACACCGCCACCGCGGCGCCCGTCGTCAGCACCCAGCGTACCGGCCGCTGGTACCTGTCCTCCTGGCCGCCGCCGCCGCCGCCCGCCGCCACCGTCCTGGCAAAGTCCCGGCTGCACCGCAGACCCCGCGGGAGCAGCCGCGCCAGCACGTCCTGGCCGCCGCCGCCGCCACCTATGGTTAGGAACGCGGGCGGGAACGACGCGTCCATGTCGGGGCCGGGCCGAGGGAGCTCCCCCGTCCGCGCAAAGTGCACCACCGCCGGGTCGAGCGCGTGGCGCGCCGCCTCGGCCGCGGGCGCCCGCTGCTCCACGCGCCGCTCCTGCTCGACCTCGGGCGCGAGCTCCCGCTGCCGCTCCTCCTCCCTGCCGAGCGCCGCAGTCGGGGCCGGGGCGGCAACGTGGTCGCCGAAGAAGCTGGCGCGGTGGCGCTCGATGCGGTCCGCGTCGGGGTGCCGGTCGGCGTCTGCGCAGCACGGGCTGCTGTTGCTGCTGCCGCCGTCCGAGGCGCGGTAGAGGTCCTCGACGGTCTGGGCTTCCTTTTGAAGGAGTCTTTGCGCGAGTTGTTCGGTTACGCGACCGTCGGCCGCCTTGGAGTACACGCTCTGCTGGTGGGCGTGGGTCTGCCCCTGGACGGCCCACAGCGGGACGGCGCGCTCCATGTCGTCAAAGGTCTCGAGGATCGCCCACTGCAGGACGTCCATGACCCCGATCGACTGCTGTTGCTGCTGCCGCCTCTCGTCGGTGCGCTGGAGGATTCTGCCCTTGATCTCTTGGGGCACGCAAAAAGTGACGGCCTGGCCCTCGCCGAGCCCGCGCATGCGCATCGCGGCCTGCGCCAGCCGGTCCTTGGTGAGGTTGGCCCCGAGCGTGAGCGCGGCTCGGTAGTGGCTGGGGAGCTTGAGGTCGGTGCCGCGGGTGTGGGCCTGGTCGAGGAAGACGAGACAGGCGTCTAGCTGCCGGCCAAAGGGCGAGGTCTGGAGGGGCTCGGTGTGGCCTTCCAGGTCGACGACTTGCAGCACGTTGTCCTTGACGTCGACGAAGACGCAGGCCTTCTTGCCGCGGTGGGGGTTGCGCTCCGACTCCATCTTGAGCCACTGCCGGGCGACCTCGTGGTTCTCCAGCTCGAGGATCTGTGCTCCGACGTCCAGGATGACTTGGACCTCATGGGGCATCTCCACAACTAGTTTGAGCAGCAGCTCGGCATCCGAGACGGCGGGCGATTCGGCTCGGGCTGGGACTATGGTCACGTCGTTCTCGTCGCGCAGGAGGTACTCGAGGACGAGGCTGTTTGTGTGACACTGGGCGCTCAGGTCGAGGTGCTTGACGGACAAGGGGAGAAGCTCCCGCGAGTCGTTTGTGCCCGAGAAGCCGGTGGTTGGGTGTGCCTTTTGCTCGCCGAGGTCCCATCCGCTCTATTGATCGTTATCGGTTAGCAAAACGAAACCCGTGCGAGAATGGGGGAGAAGGGGGCTCATCCCTAATACTTACAGCGCTCAGCTTTGACGGAAACTCCCGCATGTACCTGGGGAAGACGACTCGGCTGAGGAAGAAGTCGACCGTGGCCTTGGCGTGACGGAACGAGGGGAAGAGCTGCTGCGTACACAGCACCCGGTCGCTCAGGTTAACGCCGTCGAGATGCCGCAGCTCGGGCGGCGCCAGGGCCTCGGCGTCGCGCACCCAGCCCTCGTACTCCTCGCCGGGCCGGTCCGACCTCAGGAGGCGCGCAAAGGCGAGGGCCAGGTCGTCATCCGAGAGGCCGCCGTGGTACGAGCTCAGCGCGGTGAGGAGCATGGCCACCTCCGGGTGCGAGAACTCGGAGCGCGCCGAGGGGCAGTCCTTGGCCCGGTAGGGCACGGCGAGGCGCGTGGGCGGCTCGCGCCGGGGGTCGAAGCCGTAGTCGACTCTCCATCGCTTCTGCTAGAAGGCGAAGCCGAGAGCGCCGCCGGCGAGGAGGCCGCGCAGGAGGAGAAGCGGCCGCTTCGTCGACTCGCTCCAGATGCCGCAGCCTCCGGGGGTCTCTACGGCCGAAACCTCCTCTGGCGTCAGGTGCGACTTCGTCAAGTACCTCATGAGCGCCGCGCTGTATTACATGTTTTGTCAGACTATATATAGCTCTGTAAAGGAGGCAGCAAATAAAGGGATAAATTGTGGATAAGAGAATCAGAAACAGCGGAAATGAATAGAAAATAAGCCAGGGAAAGAGGGAAAAGATATAAAACAGTCAAACTAGTACGGACCTTGAAAAGGGGTCTCTCCGAGTAATCGGAAGCCTGGGGAGCCCGTTCTGGCAGATTCGCTCTGCGATGGCATTGATAAAGTCTCCCTGGGCCTGCCTGTCGAAGAACCGGAGACGCGGGAAGGAGCCTGGGCCATGGACGTCGTCACTGGCAAAGGAGAGAGGCGACTTGCGGGCGAGGTCCGAGGCCACGTCCCTGGCGACGGTGAGGACGCTCAGCAGGACGTGCCACCTGTCGGGGCCGAAGTCGACTGGCCTCTGCGTCCCTATGGTGTACACCTGCTCGAACCGGACGTTGAAGACCTCGTCGCTCTCGTCCACCACGTCCCTCGACGTCAAGTCGAGCATGCGCTGCGTCCACACGAGCCCCTCGGCGGCGTGGGCGCTGCTGCTGCCGCCCTCGATGAGGCGCTCGAGTCCCATGAGCTTGAGCGAGAGCAGGTGTTCGGGCTGCACCAGCAGGACCCCGCCTTGGTCCCGACATTCGGCCAGGTCTCGAGCGATGCGGCCAACTTGTTCGGAGCCCAAACGCAGGTCGCGAGAGATGGGGAGCTGGTGGATCTTGATGTCGAGGAGCCCGCCGAGCTTGGAAAGCAGCATCTGTCGCATCTGGGGTGCTTGTGCCTTGGCTACGATAACTCTGACCAGGCGGTTGCCGTCGGCTAGAGCAGTAGCGACCATGGGGACGATGACGGTTGACTTTCCCTCTCCCATGTTCAACTGCAGGACCGAGTTCTGGCCGTTCGGATGGTTGATCATCTGCCGAGCAATGTCGGACTGCACTTCTCGGATGGTGATTTTGCTTTCAACTTCCATGAGTAGAGCAGCTGGATGGTCGCAAGGGCTCCAGTTCTGGTGTCCTGCGTTTCTCAGTTCCTTGTACAGGCTGTTGACGCTACCTGAAGACAGCAAAAGCCTCTCTGCGCGCTGGATGTCGTGATGTGACAGGGCATAGCTGATAAGAACGGGCTTCCAGGGGGAAGGGGTAGACTTCCAGCGAGAGGGTGCAAGCTGCGACAAGAAGAATTCCGGACAGATCCGCGGGGATACGGCAGCGGCCCAGCCTCCTAGGCCCAAGACCGATTCAAGAGCAGCATAGATTTGATCCCGGTAGCTGCGGCAGCGGGCAAGATAGTCCCGGATGCTGTCTCTCGCTTCTTCGAGGTCCTTCTGGGAAAGTAATGGCATGTCGGCGCTACTAATATCAACGTGCCGAAGGGCGCAGGCGCTACGTCCGAGATCCTTGGCGTAACGCTTGGTGAAGTCCGACTTGGCATGCATCTGAATGCGCTTGACCAGGCCATTGACGCGCGGTGGCGACGCCGCCTCCGTAGAGGATGGTTGTATGACCGCTACTGCGTTTGGTAAATATAGCAAAGGGCAATCTCTAAGTGACGTAGGTTGAGGGGGCGCAGAGAGCGCAAAGACATCATCGGTGGTCACGAATCCCCTGACTCCAGCAAGGCAGTTGTAATCGCTGGTTGGATGCTGTCTAAGCGCCGTCACTCGCGCCGGGGCCCGCTGGCTCTCCAACAACTGGGCTATCTGGCCCAGGCACCCAAACAGCAGGTGGTTCGCGTACCAGGTCTCGAACTGCTGCTGAGCTTGGGCCTGTACGTTCTCCATGCATATATACATCCGCCACACGCTTACAAAAGGTATTGTGGGCGAGGCACACGGCCATTGAGACTGAAGAGCAGAGACGACCTCGCCGACCAGGCGCTCCATCTTTGCTTCATAGGCCTCTTCCCGGCGGGCGTCAAGGTTCTCGTTAGTCTCGCGAAGAAGCCTGGCGAGGCGCGCTTCTGGGGAGTCCCAATAGTCGTAAGCAGCCTCGTAGACAATATCTTGGATGGAGGAGGCGTCGAATCGATAACCCGCATCAACCTGGAACTGATCAATATCGGGAAAGCGAATCCGGGACATGGCCGGGACCGAGAGACAAGCCTCGAGCACGCGAAGGATCGGTCGTGCGAGAGGAGGCACCTGCGACGACCGAGACGGTGTGTTGGCCGCAAACACCATAGCAGAAAGCCAGGACCTGGCCTCGTATCGAGCCCAGACGGTGGAGTTGCTCAGGGTCCGGTGCAGCCGGCAGAAGTGGACGAGCACGGCCAAGCTGTCGTAGATCCACGCAAAGTCGAACGTGTCGAAGCCCGGCGACGGCCGCAAATGCCTCGGGCCATTTATCGTGCCTGCCGGGAGGAGGCTGTGCCATAACGTCACCTGGAGAGATCCGGGCACAAGCAAGCCCGCCTCGGCCGGCAGAAAGGGCCGGCCCTCGTTGATAGCCCTCGTGGTGGCGAAGCACGCGTTGGCGCGCGGCACCCTCCAGTCGCGCCCCCTGCCTATGTATACCCTGTCCTCGTCCGCCGTGAAGTCCTCGGCGCCGAAGCCCGGAGCCCTGCACCAGGCCGAGTTGACCAGGTCGTACTCGAGAAGGCGTTGGCTGAGCCAGGGGAGCTTGTCGACGAGGTCGCGCTCCGGGTCGTCCGGCCTATACAGCTCTTTCTGGTCCTGCGCTTGTCTGAGAAGGCTTTCGACCGACAGGTAAAGCTGCGAATGCTGCGACAGAAACCCAAGGTCCTTGCGCCACGACACCTGCTGCATATCCTTCAGGTGGGCGGGATAGAACTCGCGAGGCGCCGTGAGCTTGCTGATGGACAGCAAGATTTCGCAATCTGGGCGGTTCAGGTGGTGTAGTGATCTCACGGCCGCAGACCGGAGAATGGAGAGGGCTTGTTCGGTTCCAGTATGCGCAGTCAGGGGATCCGGGGTTGGGAAGGAAGTGATGGCATGGAGATATGCCAAATAGATCTTGCTCCTAAAGCTACCATCACTCGTGAGACGCCTGAGCTCTGGATCGACTCTGTAGGCACGGCACCCCGAGCTTGTGCCTTTCTTGATGCGAACGACGACGTGTCTGCTGCCCTCGGGATCGGATCCTCCTTTGCTCTCCCGAGTCCACTCGACCTCGCCGTCTGGAATAAGAAGCATATGAGAATTCCGGTCGTTGACAAGCAATAGCTTGCTCTTCAGTCCCATGAGTGCCCCAACCGATCGGGTGGTGGCGTCGACCCACATGCCACGAAATTGCTTTGAGTATAGCTTTTGGGACTTGGGCTCGAGGGAGAACTGAAGACGCAACCTCGGAACATCGACTTGGAGAGCGCCGGACCCCTCAGTCGCAGTGTCGACGCTCACCCGCAGGTGCTTCGCATCCTCGATGGGCTCGAGAACAGCTGAAATCGCCTTTACGGTTACGCTGTGCCGCGGGACAAGGACGCGGTCCCCTTGTCGAAGCTCCCAGGCATCAGCGCCTCCCCGTGACAGTATCCATCCGTCCCTCAGAGAGTCTTCGTCTGTGCGCCATGAGGCTTGAACGGGGCGAAACTCGACGACGTTCCTGGTCGGGTCATACCAGTGCGTGTAGTCCTTGACGAGCGAGGAAGGAAGGACGCCTCGGAAGCAGTCTTGGGGGATTATCTGGTATTTAACTCCCGAGGCGCAGTGCTTGGCACGCACAAGCAGTCCGTATGAGGCAGAAAATCCCATACTAACAGCGTACCCCGATACTTCAGCTTTGAGAGCAAACTCCATGCCCGGAACGTTTGCTGGCGTGACATGGACAGTTCCTTTGCCAAACAGCTGACTGTAGAGCTTGGAGTCTTTGTACTCGGCAGGGAGACGGGAGGATAACGAGAGACCTGCGGTTATTGACGAGTTGTCGTTAGTTGAGAAATTGACATGGAGCTAAAGTATAAAGCAGAAAAGCAAGCAGAGGACGGAAGAAGAGAAGATAGCAACAAGGAAAGGATATGAATCTGCCACATACCATCAACAAGTAGCTCAGCTGTCAAAAGATTGAACTTGATGTTCAAAGAACGGCCGTGGCCAGAAGTCGGCGAGGTCTCTAGCCAGTGCCCCAGCGGAGTCTGGAGAGGCTTCCACCGACCACATTTGTTGTACTCGGGCCAGCACTGGCGCACAGCGTCGTCGAGCCCATTCCCGCCACTCTCACCCGCCGTGGACATATCGGACAGGCAAGCGCGGGCGCGGACGCAGACCCTCTTCCAGCGAAGGGCCATGAGCGACAGCAGCGTGCCCTGCGGCTCCGGGTCCCTATCCGCGAGGGCCTCGTGGCAGTCGATGGAGCACCGGACGAAGACGGAGGCATCCTCGGGGCGGCCCAGCAGCGAGCGGAGGTGGTGCTCCTCCACGTCGAAAGTGGCGATGCACACCAGGCAGACCTCGGCCGTCTTGTCCAGCAGCTCGCTCTGGAACCTGCGCTCGGCGGCGGCGGACGACTCGACGTTGGCACGGACCGACCTCAGCATGCCAACGGCCATGAGGCGAGCCTCGCCAAGGAATCCCAAGCAGGCATCGTGTACCCCCGTGTCGGACGAGAGGCTCAGGACGCGGGTGGCGATGGACACAAAGTTGGCGAGAGCCCGGGACGCCTCCCAGTTCTGTCCGACCCGGCCGGCGGCCTCGCGAAGCGCAGCGACGAGCCTGTGGCAGAACCCGACGTCGTCCAGGACCTGGTGGCCCTCTCTCAGGTCCGAGCCCTCGGTTGACGGTCCTGCCTGGTACATGGCCTGGAAGAGGACGATGGCGGTTTCCTCCTTGCGGAAGTCGACGCAGGGCACGACCAGCTCGCACAGGATGTTCTGCCACTGTATCTTGTGCCCGAGGGGCACCGAGACGAGCGACACGAACTCCTGTCGGCCCATCGAGTCGGGCGCCTCGTGCTGGTTGGCGAGGGCCGAGTTGGGCGGCAGTCCCTCGGGCATGTCGCTGGGCCGGAAGAGGTATTTCCCCAGCCACGCGGCCCCGTCGGGAAGCCTATACGCGCACCGCAGCAGGTCCCTCTCGTGGAACTCGACCTCTTGGACGAACTGATGCTGCTCATTGTCATGGTACGCGTACGGCATGCCATTGTTGATGCACACGTCGTCTCTCGTGAGGCCGAACATGTGTCTGTGCCTCCGGTGCGTCGAGCTGCTAGGCTTATTGTCCGAGGCTGGCGAGATCCTCCATGCCACCTGTGGCGACTCGGCATACCGTGAGAGCGGGGGGTATTGAAGCAAGGTCTTGTACATCTTCGGCCCATCCGCCGCATAGCGGCCACCAAAGATGACAGTCCGGACAAACATGGTCGAGTCCCGCCAGGAGCCGAAGGAAGGAGGCGGGCATAGTTCAAAGATGGTCGCCTCGGCAGCCCTGGGGTGTCTTGGGAGAGGCCACTCGTGAACGTCGATGCGCATGTTCTCCATGGATTCGTTCGTGGAGCACTTGACACAACTGTCGGCATGGTTTCGCGGCTGCTCTCCTAGACGACTGCTCCATTCTGGGTCCCGATAACATGTCCGACGGTCGTTCTCGCGCTTCATGACCTCGTACCTGCGCTGCATGTGGTGGAGCTCAGAGACCTTGCGTTCGCGCTGTCTCGTTGCGTCCTTGTCGATCCAACAGTGAAGTTCCCGGAGTCGTTGAGATTGTGCATAGTAAAGCCCCACCGCAAAAGTCTGGATACAAACGCAATTTCCCACCAAAACTTACAATTCTCGAATGCAAATAAAATAGCAAAATAAAATCGTAAAAATATATAATAAAATCAATTTCTGTAATATTTTACAAAATCTCTAACATATATTTTTTCTGGATTTTTTTAGCTTATCGTAAGCTTGTAAAAAGTTTGTTTAATTTGGAACTTTAAAATACATGCGCTATAACTGGATTTAGCATCCCCTAAAGAGCGCTGTAACGACTTTTTTTGCATTGGGGTAATTTTCCACGCGCAATAATGTACGTTTTCAGCATCTGGACAAACTAATTTTTAATATATATTATAATAACGATTCCAAATTATTACTTTTACTTTAAGCTTTTATTTTAACATTTTTGTTCGATTTGATATAGCGGTTGGAATGTGTTGACTTTTGTATTTAATTTGGTAACGTGTATTCAGACTTTTGCTGTGGGACTGTAGCGTACAGCGAAGGAGTCTAAAGTGAGAAGCTCCATCAAAGTTAGTGTTTGGAGACATATGGCTCAAAGTGAAATCCCGGTGCAAGAATACACGAAGAAGCACAGATATCAAAGAGGATTATAAAGCGCAAAATACTGACCTCTAGCGCCGAAAGACAGAAAAATGTCTGGAAGAGAGCTCTTTGCGGCATTGCATCGCTCTCTGAGGTAGAGCTCAACCCTGCCAAGTCTGCCCATCTGCTCGCGGAAGGGCAGAACCAGCAACTGTAGGATATGGGCCGGGATCTGCGGGTCGTACTCCTTGAGCAGAGGCGTCAATGCGGTGGCGGACTTGTCGCACGCGACCCAGAGCTCGAGTGCGGTGAGAACAAGGGTAGAGCCGCCTTCAGGGTTTCCGCTGTACTCGGCGCTTGCGGCCTGCTCATAGTACTCGAGAAGGCGCTGCAGCTCCCGGCAGGTACCTCCGTAGCTAGCGTTTGCCGCGATCCAAGAATCGAGGTGATCGGCTACCCACTTTTCAAATGCCGCGAGGGTGAAGGTGGCATAGCTGGACGCGAATCTGGAGAGTGACGGCAGAGTGCCCGGCTCGAATTCTTCCGGGCACGACTTCCGACTGAAAGCAGCATGAGGCCCAGATTTCTTGTGAGTACTGATGTACTTGATGAACTTGTCGACGTCCGGCAGGTGGTGAAGGACATGCTGACTGAAGTCCAGAGACTCGAGCTGCGAGATTCCGCTGTCTGGAGACGACAAAGAAAAGATGCATTTCTGGCGCTTCTCAAGCTCGGCCGTGGCTTTGGACATGGCCCCGTCGACGCACTGAAGGATACCCCCCTGGATAGGTGCGCCATATCGGCTGAGCTTCAGCCTCCGGCGGGCAACCTTGGCGACCATGACGGCGAGGTGGTCGCTTGACAGATGCCCCGCGCGGCGTCTTCTCGAGGACGCTGGCGGCGAAGAAGAGCATGAAGTTCTTGTACGTGAACTCTGCCGAGCGTGATAGGCGCGAGAATGCCAGCTGCAGGGCGACCCGGGCCAGTAGCCACGTGCTGGACCGGCGCCACGGCATGAGGCTCTCGTCCCAGTGGACCGAGTCCCTGACGTTCTTCCAGATGCTTTGGCCAGTGACAGGCCGCGACTCGGCGCCTAGAACGCCCGTAAAGAGCCACTCGGTAACCCACTTGGGGTCGGCTGTGTCTCTCTCCTCGTCCTGGAACTGGCCCGCTTTCCACACTTGAGGGATGGTGTCTGGAGCGGCCTGTTGAGAGAGTGTAGACAGGACATGGATGAGATTCTTGCGGAACTGGTCATCCAGAAGGTTTTGAAATGGGACGGCAACGGCCACATCAGGGAATTGGCGACGTAGCCTGCCCGGGGACGCCATGGTGTCTTCATTCCTGGGGGAGAGCTCGAATGCCTCCTTTAAAACGGTCACCATGTCAGTCAAACATGTCCCGAGGGAGCAGATATTGAGAAGGTGGAGGATCTAGCACGCAGGGAGGAAAGGCAGGTCGCATGAAGCATACAATGTAGATCTCTTGGTCCTTCCTTGTGATGATCACCGCAGCATTCTGCTCGGATATATTGAGCGCGACGGATGTGTCTATGCAGTCAGTGGCGGATAGTGTCAGCATCACGCGGCTGGCCTTCGGCGTCGCGTTTCAAGTGAACAAAAGGTCGGCGTGAACTTACCTGACGTGCACATTCCCCGAAGAATGGCCGAAAGCCTGTCGGCGTCGATGCTTCCATCGGCTGCAACAGCTTGCTGCATGCATGACACCGTCGCGAGAACCTGCAAGGCAGCGAAGCTGGCGCCATGCCGGAACACAAAGCTTTCCAGGCTTGTGTACAGAGTCGACAGAAGATGTGCCTCCAGGCCGGCGTCCCAGTCGTTCTCGCCTGGGAGCTGCGGGGGGAAGAAGAGGTGGTTCACCACGTATATTGATTTGCGCTCCTCTGGAGAGCACCCGGGCTCTTCACTCTCTCTTCCGGACATTTTGTCCGTTCCAGCCTACGGCCATATAGAGACTGGGCAAGACATCTGCGGAAGGGAGATGGCGCGAGGAGGATGCTGACGACGAGTGTCAACGGAGAAAAGATGATAGAGATTGTACAAGATCGGAATGAGGTCAAGGCTTCGACGGGGGAGATGGAAGTGTGCGATGCGGTTGGTGGTGGGTTGAGGAGGAGCTAATAGAAGCGAGGGATGGAGGTGGAGGGCAGGAAAAGGTTGTGTGGAGGTCGAGCACGCGTGCAGTCGGCCAATCAAAATTGGATAAGAGAAACAACAGGTTAAGGAGTCCCTGGGTTAGGCAGGTGCCAGTCTAGGTAGACGTGGCAGTCAAATTTCGGAGGTAAAATTGGGCTGCCTAGGTGCTGGTAAACACCCCCACGCGCCGGAGGCGCATCAGAGGTTTCGTGAAAGATGGAAACACGGGTCCTATATTATATGTTCCACAGCCTACCTAATGCTACGGCGATGACGGTTAATTCCAGTACATTATATATCCATTTCATTAATCCAGCGTTGAGCTTTCAGGTCGTAGTTGAGCGCCTAGGCGGCGAGATGGCTGGTCGGCCAGCTATGAAGGCAAACAGAGGCGAGACAGATAACAGGAGATGGTATCAGCCCAAGTCATGCAAGAAGAAGGACTGAGAAGAAGATGAAGAATATAGGGCAATACGAAGGAAGCTCCTTTTTTTCGCCAAATTAAGGGAGTACTGTTTATATAGACCGCTACTTCAAATTCCTATAAATAAAACGACGTCTACCGTCATCGAGCAGCAGTTGAAATACGAGAACTTCTAGATGGCTCTGTGGTCCGCTGACTACTCTGCACGATGCCAAATACTCTAAAGTCAAGCCGTATGAAGTCGAGGGGTCCTGTGCATTGAGCCGCTCCGCGAAATGTGTTTTCCCTCCAAGTTGAACCAGCTCGGGGTTGAGCGCTGCTGACGGAAACACGTCTGGCGGACGCACATATCAAAGTCGGCATCGATTCAACGATAGTCTCCCGACTTCTGGACACTTGGCCTCCGGCGCCGCAAGTGAATACTCTGCAGTCGCCGAGTCAGACTCCAGCCCATGCCTCCAAGACGTAGTGGATCCGACCAATGCAGGGGGCCACATGAGGCTTTGCGTCAGCGGATCACGGGACGCTCCGACGATGCCTGTCCGCTTCCTTACATTCGTGCTCCCCGATTAGGCAATTGCCTCTCTGAATGGCTCAGCCGTGGTGAATAGAAATGGCATACGAGGCTAGATAGAAATCATACACACGGTCGATGGATCCCTGCGCGTGGTACTGTGCAAAATGTAAAGACTCGACCCCGCTGCGCTGTAGCAGAGAACCACCGGATTCGCCTGTCGCAACGCTGCGTCTAGCCGTCAAGAGACAAAGAATACAAAAAAAAAAAACGAGTAAACTAGGGTGTGAGAGAAAGGAAGGAGAACAAAGAAAAGCGAGGAAAAGGAGGAAGGAGTGGAACTCATCACCGCCTCTTGCCCCCCCACCATGGAGGGGGAACGCGCTGCCGCTCGAACACTGCTCTATCCTTCCTTCGGAATGGAATGGGCGGCGTCGTCTGTGCTTTCCTTTGGCTGGCGTCGTCATCCCGCAGGATAGGGCTTGTTGTTTATCGACAGCATCGTGCGCAAAAGAAACAACAAAACCAAAAGGGGACCCATGTGTCGCGGGTCAGGTGGGCAGGAAAAACGAGATGTCGGTACCTTGCATATGCGGGTATCCGGCAGGGCCCGCTGTGAGACATGTCCCTCGGCAAGAGAGTGGCAATGGAGGATTTTGTGTTGGATGGCAAGGGACACGGGCCATGACACCACATGCTTGGGGGTAGCACGACTGGACCTCGACCTCCATCGAGTGGCTCAGCTTGTGCGTGTATACGGCTCCGTGAATGCCAACACGGGAATACCGACAACATGCAAAAGAGCCGATTAGTGAAGGCCTTGGTTTTTTTGGTTTAGTCTGGCTCATTCATCATGGTAGGAACTGAAGACTGAACCAAAGGCGAAACCTTCTTCGACGGATACAGACAATAAAAACTAAGTATAGGTGCCTTTTAGGAAAGCGGGGGAATAGCTGAACAGCCGACAATGCAGTAGACCATTGCAATGCGGGCAAACAGGATGCAGGCAGCGGGAAGCAGCATCAACGTACAACGTAAAAGGTATCAAAAATCAATAAATGCGGCCCAGTGAAGAAGAGAAAAGTAACATGGCCCCCGTGGGACACAAGAGCCAAGACGGGAACAAGCCCAAGAAGAAAAAAAACTCCGGTACCACCAAGCTCCCCGCTGAAAAAAACATGGCTTTGCGTAGCCTAAGCCCCCAGAAACGAAGTGCGCAACCCAGGCAGCTTCAAAAAGAAGGCAACAACAAGAACCGACTGAGCAACAAAGGAAAGGGATTTTAGAGCGGCACCGCCGTCCGCGTGGTCTGCGGCAGGCAGGAGAAGTGTGGGATGGGCGGGTTGGTAGATTGTGTTTTTGTATAGGTAGGTAAAAGGTAGTGTATGTGTGGTGAGTGCATGGTGTCGCGCAAGGCAAAAGGTTCGTATGTAGCGTTTCCCCCTTTTCCAGCCCACAGCGACGAGCGACTCGATTTCCAAGAAGAGAACCCCGCCTTGTCCAATAACTCGCAGTCGTCGTTTGCCTCATAAACTCATTGTAGGTATCCAAGGTTTTGCTGGCGCATTATATTTTAGCTTGTTTCGCTGTGCTCGTGACACACAACGTTGAGGTGAGCGCCGGATGATATTATAAGAGACTCTCGTCTTCCGGTTGTATTGCTTCTGCTCCCGGCACGGGATTTACAGCAGGGCGGTGAAAGCGACGGCCGCAAGACCCAGGAGGAAGGCCGAAGGGCCAACGACTCCAGCACCGTTGCTGGGTGCCGAGGTGGGGGTCGAGGTGACGGCGACACTGGAGCTGGTGAAGCTGATGGGGGTGCGCGTCGCCGAGCCCGTCGTGGCAGCGGTCGTGCTGTTGAGGCGGGTGGTGAAACCAGCCGAGGCCGTCGTGTTGGCCGAGAGGGTCGAGGACGACGAAACGGCCGAGGTGGTCGTGTTGGCCGCGATGCTCAGCGACGAGACGGAGCTCGAAGACGAGGACGAAGTCGAGGACGACGAGGAGCTCGTGGTGGCGGTGGACGTGACGGGCGGCAGGGCCGCAACCGAGACGACGGCGCCCTCGCACTCGGCCAGGGACTTGCCGACGGGGCAGCAAAGCTGCTCGCCGGCGGCGTCGTTGGCGCAGTAGAAGCCGTCCTCGCACGAGACGCCGGCATTACCGGGGCAGCACTGGGCCTTGGCGCCCTGGTTGAAGCAGTGGATCGAGTTGTCGTTGGACGGGCACATCTCGAAGCCGGCTCCGCAGGCCTCGGAGCAGCTGGTTCCCATGGCGCAAAAGGTCTGGCCGGGCAAGTAGCCAGCGTCGTCGCGGGGGTGGACGGCGCCGAAGAGCTCGCGGACAGACATGCGGACGGGCACGGCCACGTCGCTCGCGGCTTGCGACGCGACGGCGAAGGCGGCCGCGGCAGCGACAGACTTGAATAGCATCTTGACGAGAGAGCGTGGTTTGTGAAGTTGTTGTTGGTGGTTGATGTTGCTGGCCGGGCGGGCGTGGGGTGGACGGCTTCCACTGGCGTGAGTGCTCCAGGCGACCTGCAGAAGAGAAGAGAAAGGATATAAACGAACGTGGGCGTACGAAGAAGGCTAGGAGGTGAAAAATTCGGTATGAAGAGGGTCTCGCGAGGTCGGAGCGGGCAGACGAGCCTTATAACGATGGTCAATGATCGAGAGGGGAGCCTGTGGGACGGTGGACGTGCCCTGTCGTTTCAGATAACGAATGACTAGCGACAATGGAGGCTGGCTAGGATATGGAGATCTTGTTTCCTAGGATGGCGAGTAGAAGCACGAGCGCAGTTCGTTAGTGGACGCCACGTCGACAAGGTGGATGGAAATGAGTGGATAGAGCCTGGGACTCTGGGCTACGGTGAGGAAGCGAAATGCGGACAGACGACGAGGACCGGCGAGGACGGGAAAGCACAGAGAAAAGAAGGGGACAAGCACCCATTTAGACGGGGCCCGATCGGGCAGCGGCGCAAAGCAGGGGCGTGTGGTAAATAAAGGACGACATGGGTGGGGATTTGAGGCAGGCGTGTGCGACGCGAGCTCGCAATCTCAGTGGCTCCTGGGCAGCACTCTGTGGGCAGCACGCAACCTGGGCAGCAAGGGTAGAGGGCACGGGTGGGGTGGGTTCGCAATCCGCCAGCAGGCTGGGCACGGGGCGGCTTTAATTGCGCTCTAAAGAACTTCTTTCACCCCATCCTCATAATGGCTCGCAGGTCCCATGGCTCGCGCCCCCGCAAGGGACGAAGAAGGACAAAACAAGTGCCGGATTAAGATGACCTCAATCGAGATGATCTCAATCGAGATGACCTCAATCGAGATGACCTAAATCGAGATGACCTCAATTGACCCAAGAGTGTGCGAGGGGTGGTGATTGCCTGGCCCCTTGGCTCATTGTACTGGACAGGAAGGCAAGAAGGCAGCATGAATCCTCCCTCGCTCGCCAAACCAGTTCCCCACGGAGTGATCAACCAAGATCCGCTCATGTCTCCCCGGGCAGGTGCCAAGCTCGGTCCAGGCCTCGCTCCTACTGTTTGTTTGGCGCTCCTTTGCCCTGCCAAGTCGCAACCGCCCGCATTCCTCGCCAGCAATTCCATCGCGCGCCTGCCTTTTTGTCTGCCTTTTTCTCCCTTCCTCTGTGTGCTGGTCGCGGCTGGCTTCAGGTCGCGCTATGATGTGGCCGTGCGAGTGAGCCTGCGCCGGTCCGCTTTCCCCAACCCGTGCCGCGCCTAATTTCAATCCTGGATGTTTCGGTTTTTTTTTTCATGTTTCCGCGCTATGTTTGCTTTTGCCGCTCCTCCATCTATTCTCCCTTCACCCCACTCAATCGCCAACTCTAATCGTAGCTGTCCGTGACTGGGCCAACCCGGCCAGAAAAGAAACAAACGATAGGCGGCACCGATTTTGTCTCACCTTCCGCCAACCATTCCGTCTTGGGAAGGCGTCTGGCGGATCGCTCGCTCCTTGAAGGGGCCTTCGGAAAGCACCTGTCCATTCGGGCATTTCATGATTCAAGCGAGATGAGTGCCAGGCGGGCTACAGTACGATAGTATGACTGCCGCGTGGAAATGTCGGAATAGCTGCATGTCTGTACAACTCTTGTATAACATTATGTGCTACCTGCCGAGTAGCAAGGTGAGAAAACACGAGGTGGGTTGGTTGACGAGCCCCGAGCAGGGCGCGTCGCCGCTTGGGCTAGGTCATGCACCATGACTGAATGGATGATGGATGGCAGCAGCGCCTCTGGGTTCCTGCGTTAGTCATTTTGGGGGCGGTTGAGCCAGTGACGAAGGGCTTTTTCTTACCTCATTAGACCGAGATAGATTGAGTGTGAGCGGGGCCCACTGGTCGTGAGAATGATTGGCCCGACCATTTTATTCTGGCTAAAATTTGACCGCGACTTTGCCGTTGACCATCCACATGTCCCCTCCCCGGCGGCAACCCAACACGGCCAATCAACATTCCCCAATTGCCGTCCTCCTGCGGCGCATGCCTTTCCACCTCGACATGGTGGTGGTGGCGTTCGTGGCGGTACTTGGACGCATGCCGTTCCAAGAATAACAGATCCCAAGCCATGCTGAATGGCGCGCGGCATTGTCTGCTTGCCGTTTCGTCCCTGTTTCCGGTTCTGTGGCGCGCTCTGGGTCTTGGGGAAGGTCGGGTTTCTTGGCATGGTCTTTTTATATCCCACTTCTTTCATCTTTCCCGGATTGAGGTGCTGGACGAGACTTGTGCGAGTGGCATTTGAGACTCCCTACTAAAACAAACCTAGAAGGGCTGGCTCTAAATAAACGGAACGAGCGGTGTTGGGTTCGAGGGTCTAACATGGTGATTGTATTGTCGATGCCGGCGAGCAGAAACCCCGAGCGATCACAGGAGACAGAGACCTCTCTGCACCTGGAAGGACCGCTCTTGGAAGAATCTATAAAGTGCTAGGTATGTACATGACAGATTCAGTGCGTGACGAGCGTATCGACAGACTTTGAACGGTAGGGTGGACAAAGAGAATCGAGTCAAGGAAGAAGAGACGGTATGGATTGCTACTATCGATTTGCTGATACGCAAATTTACACATGTATAAAAGCAAAACTGTGGGTGTGAGAATGTGTTGAAAAAAAGGGATGACTGCGGAAGCCCCTGGTGCTGGTGCTGGTGCTGGAGGAGGGGCTACTCGAAGAGCGGATGGCCGCACTGGAATCCCTCGTCGTTTAGGTCGTAGCCGGCAAAGTGAAATCCTCCGAGTCATCCTCGTGGGTGACCGCAAACTCTTCCGCTCACGTCTTCGGGGCTGTGGTCGAAGAACAGGAAGGCCCTTTCAATCGGCGCATATCTGGAAAGTTGGCTTATATATAGCAGAGACCTTAGCAGGTAACCCTGGCTGAGGGTATGGAAGAAAGGTGCAATTAGGGACCTGGGCTGAAGGGTAGCGGTGCACTTTATGTGCGAGTGAGGTGCAATGACATAAGGTGCAATGACACAAGGCGGTTTGCGCCGTCCAATCATGGCCAAGCCACACTTCCCAACTAGGAATTCGAGAGGATGAACCATCGCGAATCATTATTGGTTTGGCAAACCGGCCCTTCGTTGGCCAACGCGCCTGCCCTGAATACGCAGGGTCTGATGTTTGGATGCAGCAGCGCTCTGGTCAAAGTGTCAGAGCCGCGAAGCACGCTTTTCTGTGCTTGGTGCTATAAATCAACCGACTTCCTTGCGAGAAGAACACAAACTGTCGGCCGCCATCAAACATTTCCAGCATTGCGACTCTCCCCACGAACAAACTCGCCAATGTGACTTGCAACCAAGCAGACCGCATAACAAAGATGACGTCAATGGCCTCTGAGTCCGTTGCGACGATCCAGGTGTCGTGCAAGCAGACCAGATTCCACATCGAGGCCAGCCCCAACTATCGAGAGGTACCCATATGCATATCACGAACATGACACAAATCCAAACGCCGACAGTCCCAACTGACGCCTACACCGTATCACGAAAAAAAAAAAGCTCGACATTGAAGGCCTCAACATCACCGTCGCCGCCCCTCCGTCGCAGGCCGGCACCGCCGCCACCACCGCCAAGGGCAAAGCCAAGAAGACCAAGGGGGAGGGCCTCGAGCTGCTGTCCAACGCCAAGCTGCGCCTCAAGGCCGGCCAGCGCTACGCGCTCGTCGGCCGCAACGGGTCGGGCAAGTCGACGTTGCTCAAGGCCATCTCGGAGAAGCTCATCCCCGGCATCCCCGAGGCCACGCGCGTCTCGATCCTGCAGCAGACCGACGCCGACCGCGACGGTGGAGATGGGGACGCACCGCCAACAGCCGCTGGTGCACAACAGGGCAGCAGCAGCAGCTCCAGCGCCGCTTCCGTGCCGCCCTCGGCCTCTGCCCTCGAGTATGTCGTGGAGAGGGCGACGTCCAAGAACGAGTTGGAGCGCGATATCTCGGGTCAGTCGTGCGCTTCCCTCCTAATGACATGTGGCCGGAAGACGGCTTGTTGTGTCATGGGACGCGGCTAACAAAGCCCTACTGAACCCGCAGCACTGTCGTCGGGTGTCAACGAATGCGCAAGCGCCCACGGAGCGCTGCGCGCCCTGCGCAAGCTGAAGCACGACAGGCTGCAGAAGCGGCTGTTCGTCCTGGACAAGGATGCCAGGCTGAGGAGTGGTGCCCGTGGGCTGCAGGCCCGGAAGGCGCTGACCGAGTTTGAGAAGACGGTCGCTGCCTCGGAGTCACTGTGCGTTTTTCTTCTTCTTCTCTTTGTCCAAGTCTACATCCCCATCTAGAGCAAGGTCTAAGAAGCACATTCTCCCTCCCCTCCACCCCACCCGCAGCATAAACCAGGCCGACGACGACATAGCCCCCGAGGCGCTGCAGGCCGAGACGCAGGAGGCCGTGGACATGCTGGCCGAGCTCCAGCTGCAGGTCGAGCCGGCGCGGCTGGCCGAGGTGGAGGCGCGCGCCAGGAAGATGCTGGCCGGGCTGGGCTTCAAGCCCGAGATGCTCGAGAAGCCCTTCTCGAGCCTGTCGGGCGGCTGGCGCATGCGCGCGTCGCTGGCGGCGTGCCTGCTGCATGACACCGACATACTGATCCTCGACGAGCCGACCAACTTTCTCGACCTGCTCGGCATCGTGTGGCTGCAGCGCTACCTCGGGTCCCTGGAAGAGGGAGGCGAAACAGCAGCAGGAATAACCGAGCCGCCGACGCTCATCCTCGTCTCGCACGACCGCGACTTCATCTCGCTCTGCACCGACGTGCTCGTCGTGAAGGACAAGCAGCTGACGTACCACCACGGCGACCTGGCGTCGTACGAGTCCTCCACGGCCGAGCGGCGCGTGCACCTGCGGCGGGTCAAGGAGGCCAAGGACAAGCAAAAGGCGCACATGCAGGACACGATAGCGCGCAACCTGCGCGAGGGCCGGCGCGGCGGCGACGACGCGCGCGTCCGGCAGGCCAAGTCGCGGCAGCGCAAGCTCGACGAGCGCTGGGGCGTCGAGGTCAGCGCAAAGGGCACGCGCTTCAAGCTCAACCGCGACATGGTGGGCTGGTTCGACAGCAAGCGCGAGGACGTCGAGGTGCCGCCCGAAGACCGCGCCGTCGTCGTGGTCCTGCCCGACCCGCCCGAGCTGCGCTTCCCGGGCGCGCTGATCAGCCTCGAGGGCGCCTCGTTCCGATACCGCGGTGCCCAGAAGAAGCAGCAGGTCCAGCTCCCGCTGGTGCTGCAGGACGTGACGCTCTCGGTCGGCATGGGCGACCGCGTGGGCATCGTCGGGCTCAACGGCTCGGGCAAGTCGACGCTCATCAAGCTGCTGGTCGAGGACCACAGGCCCACGTCGGGCACCGCGGCCCGCCACCCGCGCCTCCGGCTGGGCTACTACTCGCAGCACGCGGTCCAGGAGCTGCAGGCGCTAGGACTAGCCGAGCCGGAGCTGACGGCCCTGAGCCTGATGCTGCGCGAGACGGGAGCCGGGGACCACCCGGAACCCGGAAGCAACGGCAGCGGCGGAGACGCGGCCGTCAAGATGAGCGAGGGCGAGGTGCGGGCGCTGCTGGGCTCGCTGGGCCTCCCGGGACGCCTGGCGTCGGACGTGGCGGTGCGGCGGCTCAGCGGCGGGCAGCTGGTGCGGCTGGGGCTGGCGCGCATCCTCTGGCGGCGGCCGCAGTGCCTGGTGCTGGACGAGCCGACGACGCACCTCGACTACGAGACGGTGTCGGCCCTGCGCGAGGCGCTGCGCCGCTGGGCCGGCGCCGTCGTGCTCGTCAGCCACGACCGCTGGTTCGTCCGCGGCGTCGTCCAGGGCGCCGCGGCCCTGGAGCCGGGCGAGGATGGAGGGGACGGGGGGGGACCTGGAGGAGGACGACGAGGACGAGAGCGGTGACGAGGGCGGGGCTGGAGGGGCCCCGCGCCGCAGGAGTGTGTACAGGCTGCGGGCGGGCAAGCTGACCCTGCTGGAGGGCGGGGTGCAGGAGTTCGAGGACGTCATGCAGAAGCGGGTGAAGAAGCTTCTGGGTGATGGGTAAGCGCGGCTGGCGCTGGGGGCGGCTAGGAGAGCCGGAAGGCCGGTTGGCGAGGTGGTGGTGATGGGCGCTCGGACTAAATTCAACACCTCGGACCCGGCGGCCGGGGATTTGTCCGTTTTCAACACCCGCCAACGGTGGGAGCGGACAACCGATGGGCTAGCCTACCCGAGGAAGGATTTATCCGTTAATATTGGAAACCTGATGCGCGGGGTAGCGTGCCATTGTCAGGATCGCATCGCTTTCTCCTAGAAATTGGTGCATATAAAAGTAAGGCAGCCAGAACGACGAACGAGAAGGAAAAAAGAACCCGATCTCCAGCCACCAAGCCCAGGGGAGCTTCAGTGTCTCTCCTACTAGTCCTCGCAACCCCCCCTCACGCTGCCGGCCTAAGCCGCAACTTCCTGATACCATGAAGATCTTCGCCCTCGTCGTCGGCCTCCTGCTCCCGGCCGCCGCGCTGGCGTGCACGAGCGGAACGTACCGGTGCGACAGGTGCAACTGGCAGGACCTTGCGAACGGCGACCAGGAGTGGCTGTGCGCCGACATTGTGAGTTCCGATGTATGGGCCATGCGTGTGGTTCTGGAAGTTCCTAACGCCAGCCTCCTGGCCCTCCCCCGACTACAGCAAGTCTGCAACACGAGCGGCCAGTGGGTCACGACGCACCGGTGCCGCGATATTCAGCAGTACTGGTGGTGCCGGCAGACGGGGCAGAACTTCCGGTGCGGGTAACGGTTGGTGTTGGACAATGAGGGTTGCTGAAAGGGCTGGCTTACCTAGTGTTATTGTGAATAAACCAAAAAATGCATAAACCTGCCATGAAAAAAAAAGGAAAACATGAACTTTGGTGATAACGAAAGGCAGGAACCGGGCTCAAGTAAAACAACAAGTCCCACTCGGAAGGCCCGAAAGCAAAGTCCCCGATCCCCTAGACCAGCACGCCGCCATCGACTAGCACCCGGAACCGCGGCCTCGCCACCTTGCGGACCGTCATGGCCCCGTGACGCGGCAGCTCGACGATGGTGCCGTCGACGCAGACCTTGCGCCAGCGCGCGTGCTCCTCGTGCGTGACGACCGTGACCGCGTCCGCCTCGTCGTACCCGACCACCTTGCCCCCACCGCCGCCGTCGCCGTCGCCATCATCATCATCATCATCCACCATATCGACGTGGGCCCCGTCATTATAAGCCGCCTGCATAATCTCCATCGCCTTGCCGGCGCCCACGGCCCCGAAGCTGACCAGCCACAGCCGCCCGTCCAGCGGCCGCGACGCCGGGCTGATGGTGAAGGTGCGCTCGAGGCTCGAGGCCATGGCCGCCAGCACGTACGTGAACTTGTCGCCGTTGTTAGCGCCGCGGGGGCGGACCACGACCTCCTGCTTCTCCTCCTCCTTCCCGCCCGCCGCCGCCCCCGGCAGCCCCAGCCGCACCTCGGCATCATAGGCGTGCCCGATCTTGAGCAGCTCCGCGGCCGCCATGCCGAACCGCCGCGCGCCGTGCCGCCGGTACTCGGGCGTGTCGCTCTCCCAGACCAGCTGCGCGTGGAAGCCGTAGCTGGCCACGATGGCGCCGACGAGATGGTCGACGGGCTCTCCAACCTCCTCCTCCTCCCCCTGCTCCCGCTCTTGCTCCTCGCCTTCTCTAGCAGCAACAGCAGCGGGCGACGCGGGCGGCACGAGCGTGGAGCCAGGCGAAAAGGACGCGCGGAACGTCGGCAGCGGTGCGGGCGCGCCGCGGAACAGCGTGCGCAGGCCGCGCACGAGGTGCGACGGGCCGCCGCCGCCGCCGCTGCTGCTGTTGCCGTACAGGGGGCGGTGCAGCGAGTGGAAGAGCGCGTTGCCCGTGCCGAGGGGCAGGAGCGCGATGGCCGGCAGCGAGGAGGAGGACGCTGCGGTAGCGGTCTCGTCGTCGCCGTCGTCGTCCGGCTCGCCCGCGCCGTTGAGGAGGTCGACCACGCCGCCGTCGCCGCTGAGCAGCACGATGAGCTGCTGCCGCCGCTGCCCCTTATCTGCTGCTGTTGTTGCTACCCCTCGGACCTCCTCGTGCCGCCGCCGTCGCAGCGCCTCGGCGCTCCACCTCGCCCGGGCCAGCTGCCGTATGCTGTGCGGCGACTGCGTGACGAACAGGTTGTACGACGGCCTCACACTCTCCTCCACCTCCTCCACTCTTATTGCTGCTGCTCCTGCTGCTGCCGCCGCCGCTGATTCCGATCGCGCACTGCCGCCGCCGCCGCCGCCGCCGGGCGAGTCGGGCGGGGTCAGGCCATCGCCCGCGCGCAGGCCTAGCACGGCGCCGAGCAGCTTCCCCAGCACCGTGTCATAGACGGCCTGCGCGAGCCCCGTGCCCGACTTTGTCGACACGATGACGTGGAGGTCCGGCGCGGCGGTGGCGGCGGCGGCGGCGGCGGACTTGCTGCCGCGGCCGACGAGATGGGCCGGGACGGCGGTTAGGAGGTGGCGGTCGAGCAGTGGCTGCGGGAGGCCTGGCGCCGACACGCACGAGAGGTGGTACGGCTCGTCGCCGCCGCCGTCGCCGTCGGGGTTTTCCCGCACCAGGTAGATGGCGTACCCGGCGGCGGCCGGCGGTTTATTGGTTGGCAAGGCAGAGGATGGTAGTGGTGGCAGCTCGCCCTTATCGAGCTCGGACTCGGGCTCGGGTGGCGGCTCCTGCTCGGACTCGCGGCAGATCAAGACCACGTCGTCCTCTCGGAACGTCCCAGAGCACCCCGTGCCGCCTTGGCCGTCATTGTAATCACTGCTGCTGCGCTTCAGACTCCAGCAAAACTCGCTGCCATCGCCAACGGGCTCGAGGGTGTCGTCGGGGCCGAGAACGGTGTGGTCTTGGATATACGCCGTAGTCCTCGGCACGCGAAGCTCCATGACGAAATTGCCCAAAAAATTTGCTTTGCTGCGGGGATATTGTTGAAGAAGAAGAAAGGGGGGATGCGGGAGGGAGATGATTGCTATAATACACAAAAAAAAAAAAAGGACAAGGAAATAATCTGACGGTTGCTTAAATACCAGATTGAGAAGCCGGTAATGTGATGGAGCGGACAAATGCGACTTGAGCCGTCATCAGTTGCCTTCGTCCTTCAAGCTCGACTCACCCCCTCCTTCCTGTCCTGGACAAGAACAAGGATGGTTAGTGGAGGCGGTCGGACAAGATGGGTTGATCTGGAGTTGGGAGGGGGATGAACATTCGACTCAAACAATGGCTCTCCATTAGCACGCACACAGGTGCAAGACATAAGCAACCACCCGCTTCCTCGGATGCGCCGGGCGGCCTTTCGTAAGCCCCGTCTGCGGTTTGGCCCAACCTTGGTGGAAGATGAGCCCCCTAGTTCGGGGTCCTACCCCTGCTAGAGCGCCTGTCGTCAGCACCAAGTGCCAGTGCTAAAAAATGGCGGCGCAGTGCCACGTCAAATTTGGGGCTTGGACATGGAAGCACAGACTGTGATCTGCAAGTGCCGAAAACCCGAGGATTTCGCAACAAGACACTTTCTGTATTGTTGATAAACGGTAAACCATCACCCGCCTGTCGCCTTATATCCCAGTCGCCTTTGCCTGTGGGCCCCAGTTCTCCCTCGGGTTGACCTGGTATCGCACGAGCTTCTTCTCCCTGCCGTCGCCACGACCAACCCTTAGCCCAAAGTTGACCTTGGGCTTGTTCTCGTCATCGCCTTCCACCTCCTTCTTCGCCCCCTTCTCTCCCTCAGCACCAGCACCACCACCACCACCACCACCCTTGACCACCATGATGTGATGCCCCGCCGTGCCGGGCCTAATGCTGCCGTCCTTGACAGGCGCCTTCTGCCGCACCCACTCGCGCATCACGTCCCAGATGGCCGACCACGGCGCGTCCGTCTTGACGCTCCCCGGCTTGCAGTGGCTGCGCGTGACCCGGTACCCCAGACTCGCGAGCCCGCTGCGGATCGAGTCCTCGTCGGGCGTCATGCAGTGCACCACCTTTGCCAGCACCGACGGGCTGAAGAAGAAGGGGTACGGCTCCAGCTCGGCCAGCCTGTCCTCCTTGACCTCGACCGCCGCCAGCTTGTCGCGCAGCTCCACCGACGCCGGCGCGATGCCGCCCCCGTTGGCGGCGCCGTCGGCGGTAGCAGCGCCCGCAGCGCCCTCTCTCGGCTCCATCATCTCTTCCAGCGCCGTGGTCAGCATGCCACGTATGCGGTCCGTCGTGCCGTAGACGTCGGGCGACGCCGCCGGCAGGTCGTCCAGTATGGCCCTGACGAACTCGGGCGAGTGCAGCCTGCCGGCGTACATGGGGCCCGCGAGGTGCATTCGCGTGTTGCAGTGCTCGCAGTGCTTGTCGGCCGACGGGCCCTGCGCGAAACCGTGCTTATAAAAGACGTTGCACCCCCCGCCCCGCCCTTCTTGCTGCTGGACGTGCGCTTGTTCCTCAGCAGCGGCTGCGTCTCCCACGCCCCGCACCCGGCGTCGCAGTTGTAAACCATCATGGTCCTGCCGGCCTGGAACTTGACGCTGGCCGGCGAGCGCCTGACGCGCACAAAGACGCGCGCGTAGTAGTCGATGGACAGCGACAGCAGCGGCTCCACGGCGAGGCCGTAGCGCGCCGCCGACGCCGCCACGGCGTGCAGGATCAGCCGCAAGCCCGCCTCGTGAGAGTGGAACCCCTTGAGCGGCACGCCGCCGTAGAGCGCGAAGCACTTCTCCGGGTAGCCGTTGGAGGCCCAGACGCCCGGGTCCGTACATGTGACGCAGAGCAGCCCGCCGTCGTCGCGCACCGCCTGCACCGCCGCGTCTAGGAACGTCGCGGCCGTGCCGTAGGGGTCGAGGTCGATGACGTCGTACTTTTGCCCGCGTGCCGCTGCCTGCTGCTGCAGCAGCCTGGCGTTGCCCCCTGCCGCCGTTGCCGCCGCCCCTTTGGACATCTCGTCACACACGATGGTGTACATGTGCCCGACGGCGTTGCCGTGGTTGACGAAGATCTTGTCCTCGAGCTTGTTGTGCCTGACGTTGAGCTTTATCGACTCGACCGCCGCCTCGAGCAGGTCGTTGGAGACCACAGTCGTCGGGAACGGGAGCTCGTGCGCATAGCGCAGCGCCCTGAGGCCCGTCGCCGACAGCGCGTCTAGTATCTTGATCGAAGGGCCCTTTTTCGGTCGAGCCTCTGCCGCTTGCGCAGCGTCTAACGCCTCGGAATCGGCCGAGGCCTGTTCCCCCTCAGCGCTTGCAGGCACGGGCGCGGGTGCCGGCTCCTGCGGCTCTGCTGCGTCACTGGACACCTTGCTCAGTTTGCGCGGCGGCTCCGCATCGTCCGCCCCGTCCTCCTCCTGGCCCTGTTCCTGACCGTGTGCGTCGCGATTTGCCCCCCTCCTCTCCTGGCGCTTCCGCTTCTTGTCGGCAAACTGGTCCATGCGCCGCTGGTGGTCCCGTGTGCGCTTCTCCATGACCTGCTTACCGTGCGCCTTGATGGCGAGCACGCTCAGGTCGCGGTTGAACTGCTGGATCGGGTTGTAGAAGACGCTCTGCAGGTCGTCGGCGCCCGTGGCCAGCTTGGGTTTCTTCTTCTGCGCATCACCGTCGGCGGCCTCGGGCACCAGGATGAAGGCGAGGCCTTCCCTGATGGTTGTGTAGCGCTTGCCATCGTGCAGTATCGTCTGCCCTCCAGCCGGCTCGTCCGAAATGCTGGCAGGAGCCGCGGGGGTGGCGGCCTCGGTGGCCATGGGTCTGGATCCGAGTTGGTAACGGTTGGTGAGGGCGGCCGTGGTCGTGGGTATAGCGCTGAGGGAGAAAGGGCCGAGTTGCAGGTGCGAACCGATGGTTACATTCCCAATTAACCTCCAGCTTCGTCTTGTGCCCAAGATATGCAGCATCTAGTGGCTCAATTCTGGCCGTGGTAAGTCATCGGGGAGAGCTGCATCCAGCAAAATGCATGACAACAAAAAGTTTTTGGAGCTCCGCGCAGTCACGAAGCTCCAGTGGCGGGACCACCCGCGTTGGAGCTTGGGGAGCTCCATGGAGCGACAGGGGTCGGCCGCGGGGCAGGCGCAGGATGCATGCACAATTGATGTCATTTCTTGGGTCCCAACAACCACCACCATTCCAAACACCTGCACCTATCGCTTTCTATATACCTACATACACTAGTCGCTAACAAGTAATTGTGATTTTGCCTCGCCCATCTAGAATAGAGCAGCTCGCCAAGTGGATTGCCATCTGACCTGTGCCAGAGCCGCTGTCCATGAGAAGCACCGTCTCCATCCCTGAGCAAGGCGTTGTACATGAAATGAACACGGAATGTCGCTGCTCCTACCTGGCCTTTGTGGACTGGCTGCTTCTAACCAGCCACCCTCCAACGGCTGCTCCTTGGAGACGTATCTGAGGAGGATGTTGTAGTAAAACGTGTAAAATCAAGGGGTTGTGATGCTTGCCACCTTCCCTCCCGCTTCCATGCCGAATCTACCTATCTTATCCTCCCGGGTTCCCAAAGTCCCAACTTCGCCTCACGAATCCTCACTCGCATCTATATCCTCCCATTTTCGACCTCTTCTGGTGGTCACGAGACGGCCACCCTCACGAAACAAACTCCGAGTTTGTCTGATGGGTCGTTTGCTGCCAACCTTTTCTTCCCGATTCCCAAACGGTCGTGTCGTGTCCTTTTTCGCACCAGTAGATCTTCCCGCCATATGAGCTTCCATAATAGTAAATGCTTTTGCGTTTGAATCAATCTTCCATTGAGCCAGCACAGAAAACACCCAAATTCCATTAAAGGCGACGAGATTGTATCTCGGGCAAAAGGCCAAAGAGAAATATCAAGAACGAGTAGGGGAATAGTGGGAAGGGCAGGAGACGGCAATGTCTGATTGCTCACCGTATGGACGGAACCGAGAACGAATCAGCTCAGGTTTCAACATCTATACGCGGGAGACGGCCGTTCGTCTGCACAAGTCAAGGTAAAGCAAAGAAATAGCGGCCCGGGTCTAATGGTGGCTGAGGAAAGAGGCGACAGCAGTCGTCGGCCATCTCTTCAGCCCTCAAAGTGGAACACGGACGCATCTAGCTGCCCAAGTCCATCCCTCTGCTGGACGTTGCGTCGGCGATACGTGTTGGTAAAGTCCTGAAGCAGCGCCCGGACCTGGCGCACTTGCTCTCCGGCTGCGAGACGCTCCTGGATCTTCTGCATGAGCCGGCTCGACTCGGTCGGACTGACGGAGCCCGCTGGCAACGACGCGATCGCCCTCTCGATCCACTCGGCCGTCTCCGTGGGGAGCTGCTCGAACATGGCCAGAAGCACACCACTGCCGTCAGCAAAGCAGTCACGGGGAAACGTGTTCAGCATTCCACCCAAAACCTGCTTGACAAGGAGTTCTCCGTGCGTCGAAAGCAGCTGCCGCACAATCAGCCGGAGCTGCGCCAGGTTGGGGTTGGTGGCGGGCGGCATGCTGGATCCCACGGGATTGTCTCCGCCATAAGTAAGCAAGTCCCGCAGGTAGTGCAGCGCCGCCGAGAGAGGGTCGCGCTGCTGCAGCGTGAGCGCCGTCAGGGCCGCCTCGAAGATGGGCGTCAGCAGCGGTGACGGTATCAGTTTCTGGTGGTAGAACAGCAGCGCGTCAATCAGCAGACGGAAGTAGTCTTCGATGACGTCCGGCACCTCTGCGGCGGGGAGTCCGTGGAGGACCCGGAGGACCGACGTGGCCTGCGCCTCGAAAAAGGAGTAGATACCCTCCGAGATCGAGTCCGGCACGTGCTCCCGCTCCTCCGAGAACTCTCGCAGAATGGCCCCGGTAACCCACAGGAAACAGCCCTGCCTCGAGGCCTGAAAGCCATTAGCCAGCTTCTCCGCCATGGGCGTGAGAATTGGCGTCATGGCTGTCCGGTACGAGATCACCATGAAGCGCCAGCATCTGCAGACCCTCTCGCAGATGGGCGGGAAGTTCAAAAAGCTGTCAAGAACCTTGGAGAGCACAGGGAAGACCTCCTGCCAGTACTTGACGGCGGGGTTCTCTTGCCCTTCGGCGGCGTATGGCTTCACCGTTTGGACAAACAGGGTGATGAGCTGGAGGTGGTCTAAGCGAGGGAGGTGGAGGTTAGCAAACAGATCTTGGCCTGATTCGACAGCCATCATGGTTCACCGGGCGCTGTGCTTACCTGCAACAGCGAGTTTGCTGTCTTCGTCGGTGGCATTGCCGGCCTTGACCATCAGTCGGTTGAACAGAGGATCGCAGTATAGCTTCAGGAGGCTGTAGATGTCCTCGGGCTTTTGAACAGCGACGACGCTGGCGACACCCTCGGTAATCTCCTCCTGGCTGGGCTCGGGGAGCTTATCGAGGATCTGCTCGTAAAAGGTCTGCAGCTGGAGCACCTGGTCGCTGAGCAGGTGCTTGCAATCGGTACAGAAGTACTTGATCGCCTGGGCAGCCGCGCGTACGATTTCCTTGGAATCCGTCTCAAAAGACGAGACAATGTAGTTGAACTGCGGTTGCAGGAACTCGGCATGCTCGGCGGTCCACTCCGTGTATCTCCCAATGACCATGATGGCTGCGAACCGCAGCTTCTCGTGGGCCGGCATCTGAACCAGCAGCGGCATCAGTTGCGGGAGCACAACGTCCTCCTCCTTGGGGACCATGCGTCCCATGGCGCGCATGGAGAACAGCGGGGCCTCCAGCTCTTGCCAGTGCGGTACGCTCGTCGCCGTGGCTTGGCTGCCATACTTCTGCATCCACAACTTCATGGAATCGAGGACCTTTGTGAGGCACGTCACCACCCCGAGCACCTCGCAGGAGTCCTTCAACGTGTCGCCCATGCGATGCCGGAACTCGCGGAACTTCTCCTCCATCTCGCGGTCTCCGTCGAACAGGTCGAGCTCGTTCTCGTTGTCTGACTGGGGGTATTCGAGGTGCTTCATCAGAACTTCGACCAGCTTGACGTAGACCTCGCCCAGGTCCTTGCGGGCTTCCGAGTATATGTCAAGGACAAGGTACTGCTTCAGCTCAAACCAGAAGTTAAAGGTGTAGCTGATCACATCTCTCTCCTTATCCCTGACGCAGCACTCCAGCATTATGTCGACCAGGGGGCGGAAGTGGCGGGGCTCGCGGGCAATAGCAACGACCCAGGCGTCCCCGGCATCTGCAAACAGCCTGGTAAGCGCCCTGTACGCCTCCGTGTCCTCTTCGGAGACGGCCTTTTCGATCAGGGGCCTGAGTTGGACTATTTTGGGGAGGAGGATCTGGATGGTCTCGACGTTCTCGTCGACCTCGCGGGTTTCATGGCAGATGACTCCTAGACACTCGGCAGCTTGTTGCAAGGACTGGTCGTGGCCGAGGGCGTTGATGACCACGTCCAGCAGGGGCGTCTTGACGATAAAGTTGACCGGGACCTCCCGGAGCCAGGATGTGATGCACTCCATCAGTTGTGGGTTGCGTGCGGCAGACTCTGCAGTTGGAGAGGTCAGTTCTGATACCATGCGCCCACACAACTATAGCAACGGAGCGGAAGTCAGGGGCGCCAGCGTACCAGAAGACTGTGCGTAGTTGATGAGCAGCTCGACCACCCGCGTCGAATTGTCGGCGAGCAGTTCGGTTGTCCTCTGTGCTAGTTCCTCTTCCTGTTGATACGCGTATTAGAGATGCCGTTTATCCGAACGATGGAACGAAGACGGTAGTGGGTCGAGACGGTGGCGAGAGGTGAGGTCGGTCATGATTCTCCGTTCCACATACAGACAGGGTGATCTTTCGTCCTTCGGTCACTTCTTCAGGGAGCACTTTGAGAAAGTCCAGGATGCAGGCATGGCTCTCAACGGAGTCGCCAAGAGACACAACGACCGAGTCCAGGACATCCTGCCAGCTCTTCATATGAATGGCGAGGATGGCCAAGCAGACGCACAGCTGAACCCGGACGGGCTTTGGGCCAGGCGAGAACTTCTTCAGGAGGACCAGTATTTGGCTCCGGAGAGCCGGAAGGTCGTTTTCGGTTACCTGGGTGTGGAGGTCGTAGGTGATCTGCCAAAGCGTCAGACAAATGAGCCACGACTGTCGGCAGTGATGAAAACATGGGCACTGTGTTTTTATGTCTCCTCGACCTACTTTTCCTTTGAGGGTAATAGCCGCAAAGCTCAAGGCCTCGCCGTCGGTGCTGGACTGCAGGATCCCGATCGTGACATTCCAGGCATCTTGCTAAAAAAGGCCAGTGGAAAGCGCAGTTAGTAAACTGCGCGCAACACAGGCGCAAGCCGACATGAACGCAGGGGTGGCGAACCGATTTCTGGAATTTGTCCAGGTACTCCATGGCAAACACCTTCTTCTCACGATCCTGGCCGCGCATGGCCAGCATCGCCTGGAGAACATTCTCCGGTGTGAAGATATCCTGCGCCCCGTTGGCGGCCATGGTTGGCAGCGCGGGCAGCTGTGATTTTGTCGTTGGATCCGGCCCGGCTCAGTCCTGGGCGGGTAGGGAGGTTCAACGGTCGCCTTCGCCCTTGGTTGGCGCGGAAAGATAGTTGAGTGTGGCGACAACGGCGGCGGGGACCGGCGGCGGCAGGTAGACTACGCCGGGAGGATGCGTGAATACGTGGGGTGCTCGACTAGGTGCGCAGAAAAGGCGATGCGCGGAATGTCTCGGGCGACGGGCGGCGGCAGCGAATGGCGCCGAACGCAGCGGGAATGGGTAACAGGCGAGAGTAGGGAGCGTGGTGAGTTGCAACACAAAGAAACGAAAGCAGCTCGACTAGGCCGCGTTTGGGGGATAATTTGGACGTGAAGTCGTCAAAGGGCTGGGTAAGATGCGAACCCAATGATGGGCTTGCAGGTGCTTTTTCCAGCCGGCAACCTTGCAGGCACCCGCCAGACTGGCTCTGACCTGCGCTCAGAGGCGCGGGGCTCGCAGCAGCCCGTTTGCCCGTCCAAGCGACTTTGGGGTCTGTGCGCCCGACTGCCAGCCCAGAGTTTGGCGGGGCAGGTGGCTTGACGGGCTGGGTTGAGGCTGGGTTGGACTCTGCAATTGGCTGGCGGGGGCGGTCCTGGAAGCACGGTTGTGTGCTGCTGTGCAGCCTTATCACTCGGCAAAACATTTTAGCTCCCCGTCGCAATTCCACCCACCCACCACAAGGCTGGGACGGACGCGTTCAGCACCGACGAGCCACGACCAGCAACGCGCGAGCCCCTCCTTCCTGCCCATTGCGCCAGCCAGACCGCCGCGGACCAGCTGCGCAGCTGTCCAAGCAATTCTCCCGTCGCTGAAAACCTCGTCGAGCTCGAAAATCCGACCTCGGCCTCAAAATGACCGGTCGTGGCGGTGGCGGTGGGCGCCGCATTCTCCTGCCGCCCATCAACTTTATTTTCAAGCTTCTCCAGTCGCATGCGCCTGTCCAGATCTGGCTCTATGAGCAACTGGGTATCCGCATTGAGGGCAAGATCAGGGTGAGCACCGATTGCTGTCTCTAGCTTGCACTCACCGTACTGACAGGAGTATGGTCCACAGGGATTTGACGAGTTCATGAACCTGGTTCTCGACGATGCTGTCGAGATTAAGCAGGTCACTAAGGAGAACCCCGAGGAGAAGAGGAGACCTCTAGGTACGGGAGACCCTAGACTTTATTGGGTGTCAGATTGTTCCTCGCTAACCCACATCGGAAACAGGGCAAATCCTTCTCAAGGGCGACAACGTGTCGCTGATACAGGCCTTATAATACGTGTGAAGGGGACGGCGCGGGTGCTGGTTGTGAATAGGAGGGTGCCGTTTTGTCTATACTTGGAGTGAACACCAATCATAGCAGATCCAACCACGGCTACACCCACGTCAGAAAGTTTCGGAAACTGCAGGGGTGAATGGCACTGTATTGAGGAAATAGCATGGAGGTCATGGTATATTATTGTGCCTTCGGACGGCCAGAGGTCGCTTGCGGGATACACCCTTGATGTAGTGTCGGCCGAAACTAAGCAGGACCGATTTCCTTGGTAAGGAATGGGGTTCGGGTATTTCTCCAGTGCCTTCAGGGCGCCTTTATGTCGCCATTTCCTACAATCAAGGCGTCCAGACAGCGGTCCATGGGTCCGGTCGGGACCGAGACTCCAAGCGTAGGTGTCAAGAGCTGCTCTGTCAGAGACAAGCCGCACAAAGTAGCCGTGGAAGAAGCCGATTGAGTCTTGGTCGACACCTTGGCATCGTAGCGGTGGAGAAAGAAGTCATAGAAGCCCTTTCCGTGACCGCAGCGCCGAATCAAATGGCTATCCGGATCAACATCGAAGGCAACTCCGGGCATCAGGATGAGGTCCAGGCCGGGCTGGCGCTCTGAGTGCTGGGCGTCGGGCCCGCCCAAGATCCTCTCCCGCTCGTGCACGGTGGCGGGGTTGATGCTCGGGATGCCCCACCTGTCGGGCGCCAGGGACTCGTAGTCGGCCAGGTCCCTCAGGCGCACCATGTCCATGACGCGGGCCGGGGCGGCGGCGGCGGCCGGGACCATGTCGGGCGGCGACTTGTGGAGGTACGGGACGAAGACGTCCTTGCCCGAGCCCAGGGCGTGGCGGACGACGGCGTCCGTCTGCACCTCACCCGAGGGCATGGAGAGGAAGACGCTAAGGCGCCTGGCATCGACGTACGGGGGCCAGGTCAGCAGGCTGTCGAGGATGGCCTGACCTGAGAGAGGGGATGGACACGAGACAGGTTCTTAGCCGCGAGTTCTCCCGAGCGGGCGGGCCGCCAACGCTATTGGTAGGTCATGCGTGTGTATACTCGTATGTAAGCCTGGGGTGTTGTGCATGCACTGCACCTACTTTGCGCCATGGCCGAGTCACGGGAGACGGCCGCCAGTCGGGACTTCATCATCTGGCGAAGCTGCTGCTTCGCAATGGCGAGTTGGGCCATTTCTGTATCCTCCATGTCCAGCCCACGCCAGTCCGTCACTGTTGTGAGGTTGGGAGAGGTGTCTGTTGAAGCTGATTTTTGATGGTTGTGTCGACTGGTTTCCCCTCTTTGGGCACCTGCGTGCTACCAACTGTCTACTAGCAGCTGATGTGGATCCTGCGGGCGCTCAGGCTGCTGTCATGATGGACCAGGACCCCGGCAGGCGAGTGTTATTTTAGTCTATCTAATCCATCTAATCAACGCATTCTCCTGCCACCCACCGCATCCACCTTAGCGCGCATGCTGCCGATTGATATGTCGGCTGCAGAGGGCCGGTAAAGTTATCTGATGCGCCGAAAGCAACCCTAGTGGAAGGGCAGTCCTGGTCCTGACCCTGGCCTGCTGCACCTTCACTGCAGACGAGAGCTGCGTGCAGCAGCCCCCGATGGGTAGGGTACTCTTATGCGGTGATGCGACCTAAAACGTGTCTGGAAATATTTCTTCCCGCTGCTCCCGCTGGTCACACGCACTTGGCACCGACGTTTAGCCTCTTCAATCCAGGTTTTCGTGTTGCTCCTGCAGCATCACTCCACTGACAAGGCCGATGACTCCCTCGTACATATTGGGCTGGTTGGCGCTCTTTGCAGGACGCAGCTGAAATGCTTGTTTGTGCATGCAAGATCTGCAGGAGCGCGAACGGGAATAGAATGTTATCTGATGTGAACTGACGCAAGTATTCGTGACGTGAATGCTGGAGCAGTTGAGGGAGAAAAAAGAAAAAAGAAGAAAAAAAAGAAGAAAAAAACGAGTGGAACCGAGGCAAGACGTCGCAGGCCCCAAAACAGGGGCGGTCCGAAACGGATCACGCAGTATTGGCCGGCCCAGTGTGCTAGTGCGGGCCTGAATGGCTGCCTTGCAAATTGCGACCCCTGCCCCTGCGGCCCACTCTTGTCTCCAGTTGCCGACACGCCAGACGCCATTGCTGATGTGCTGATGCTGCCTCCAGCCAGTAAGGCCACCTCCTCCTGCCTTGCCTTGCCGAGTCACAACGCCTGTGCTGAATCGAGCCATATTTGGGTGCTTCAGTGCTTCGGTGCTCTAGAGTCACACCGCTGAGATCGTCGTCCTTTTCTCGTTTCTTTTTCACCAGCGGTGGCTTGCTGGCCTGTCCAACCAGCCGAGCCGACAGCCGACGCACCCGACTGGCAGGTCAACCGGAAAGGACGAAG